TCTCTCATTTTGCAACCCTGCAGGATCTGCAAGCCCTCAATGCCAACTTCTCTAGTGTAAGTAGCAACCATTGCCCTTCTTGCAGCCGGTCTGCCTTTCAAAGGGAATAGGAGTTGACTCTCTGATTGGTTTGATTCATGTAATTGCCAAAACCCTATCTCACTTGGTTCTTACTTGCCCAGATTGTGTGCCATTTAAAGGAATGGGGTGTAAGATCTAAGGGGATCTATTTGCAGAAATGGAATACAATATCCATTACTCTGTTTACACAATGGAAACATAGTACCAGCCATTATTGTGTTTACATAGTGTGCATAGTTACATTAGTGTTTAATCACCTGAAAATAATAATCTTTGTATTTTTGTTAGTTTAGAATGAGCCCTTCATATCTACATCGGAAGCGGGTCCTCTTCAATGTGTCCGCCATGTTTCTATAGTCGCCCAGAACGGACAAACCAAGCACTGGCTCTAGAGAGAGCCTTTAATGCTTTTACATTACCTGAAGGCCACCGTAGTTCTCCAACATGATTGGAAAGGGAGGGTTGCGGGGGATGGGTATTTAGTTCCCTGCAATTCTGCAAAATCACCACTAGATGCTACTAAGTCCAACACACTGCTCTTTTAACGAGCAAAAGTGGAGTTTAACAAGCCCTAAATGCACCTGTGCCATGCACTTTACACCATGTGCTATATGGCCCAAAGTCTTTAAAGTCTATAAAATCTGTCCTTTTCACCATATTACTGGTTTCATATACTTGCTGATGTATTGTATTTGAAAATGCATGTCAGTGCACCAAAACATTTCTGGATTTTGAACAGACATTTCGTGTAATATATCCTCAACTCATCATTATAGGGACGATACAGAAGAAAATAATTGTGATTCATTCTCAATGTCTCCTAATTCGCATAATTCACACAACCTGTTATCCTCCTGGATGTTTTTAAATTTGCCAACTTCAAGGGCTAGAGAGAATTCTCAACCGTGCACCTAGAGACCTTTGACTTCTTCATACGTTTGCTGTAACATAAGATTCAGCACCATAATTGTGATTTGAAAATGTTTGTAGTTTTAGCTTAAACAATCTTTCAACTATTTTTCTTCAGATCTAGCAGGTACCTTTCTTCAAATTGTGTTCATGCTGCATGACACATATTACTCTGAATATATTGTAGTTCAGCTTCCTAATAAACAGTATGATGCTTTGTAGCCCATGGAGAACTGTGGGATTTACTGCAAAGGAAAACCATCTTACTGACCCTGTATGATTACAGTCTTATCATTTCACATTTTGACAATATTGATCCAGGAATCCAACCCATATCACCCTGAATAGCCAAAGTAGGAGCAAACAAGTGAACACTCAAAAAAACTGTGTGCATCTCTATTCTGTATATATTCTGCTTTTTTTTTTACATTATGCATATCCCCAAAGCATAATTCAATATGGGGGAGACATTTGTATTTATTGACAACCTCCATCTATAACACCAGGTATTTAACGCGCTTAAAATATTTTAAATCCTCCTCAGATTCAGCCAGTACAGCAATATCATCTGTGTACCAGAATTAGCCCAGATAATACAAGGCATGTTCCTTTTAGTTATCCAACAGGTAATAATGTTTTAATTATGTGGACATATATGGTGATGGCACAAATTACCTTAAATATGTCCTGCTTTCAGCCTGGAGCTAAAAAGAAAAACACCTATACTCTGCTGCTGTTTCACCCAATACATCATGATTAGGTAAATAGTGAGGCAGACTGCAAATAGTAAGACAAACAGTGGTAATGTTATACCTCTAACTAAGCATTGGCCTAGTCAGCTAACATAACAAATCAGCAAGCAACTGACAAAGAGCGTATTCTTTAATAGTTCAAATTTACTCACCATTTTGCTTTACTGTATGATGAACAAAATCCCCAACGAATAAAACTCCAAATATTTGTGGGCTAAATCCTCAAACAGCAGAAGCCAACAATATTTCCATATTGTATTTTTCTACAGAGCAACCCAAACGGCTTATTGATAAGTTGCAACCTGTTACACATACTCACACATGTGATTGATATCTGTGTATTTATGTACGTAGATCAGGTGGGTGGACAGGAATTCTGCTGCAGTCTGAGTGGTTCATGTGTGTAATAATAATAAATAGCAAAATAATAATGAAATAACCAAAGCTAAATTCAATATATATTAAACACTAAATAATTCTACAGGTCAGCTGTAACTAGTACCAGTATTACTATTTACTCAGGTCTGCAAAATAGCCGAAAGCGTGAAACACATTTATTAATTTGGCAGGTAACCAAGCCATTATTTGTGCTTTGCCATTCGACATCACTTGCTTTTATTCCTTTAAGACAAATTCTATTTTACACTATTAAAAAGGTCTAAATTGGCAGACTGGGAGGTCCATTGTTTAACCTAAGCATACAACTGCATGCCCTTCCACTGTAAGTGTTTGCTTACTGAAATGCTGCTTGTCACTTTTTAGGCGGACGTTGAAGATCTTCTCACTCTCAGACAGCTGGCCAAGTTCGCAGCGACTCCCTCACAGCTGAAGACAACACAAGATGTGACAAAAATCATGAGAGTCATTGATCCTGTTGACTTTGGTGCTTTCTTTGACATAGTCTCACCAGCCATTGAGGTAAACATCTGTATAGCTGACACTTTCTTTTTTGCCTTATAATACTTAAATTGTTTCTACACACAAACACATGGCATAATATTTTTTTTAAATGTTATATTTTCGAATAGTAACTTTAAAATCCAACTGAAATGCATTCTATGCAACATTGAAATGCCAGTTTATTGGGCTTACCTAGCTAAAACCAATGCAGTCAAGTAATTCAACAACTCTGCAATGAATTCTACCTTCATTAAGTGTGGTCCAGAGTAGGGCTGGGCGGTATGACCAAAAATGCATATCATGGTATTTTGTGAGATTCTGGCGGTTATATCACGGTATTTTTTTTTTCATGTTAAAGCATTAATTAATTAACACCGAAAAGAACCAGCCGGCCAACTGGCCAGCGAGCGGTGAACAGCTGCTTGTGTGGCGTGTCTTCCGTTCCGTCACTTCCTGTTTCCTTCACCTACATTCCCCTGGGTCCTAAGCCCCTCCAAGTACAGCTTCTTATCACCCTCTATGTACCAACGTACATTTATAACAAATACCACACATATTACGGTAATCAGCGTTGCATATGTGTCTGACCAAAATAGCTTTTGTTGTTCAGTCTTTGTTCATCCTGCATCGCTCTTTTCTGTTCTTTAATGTAACGTTACTGGAGCGACAGAGCCTCTCTCAGCTGTTAGCAGACTGTTGTTAGCGAGCTGTACCCAGCATGCAGTTCGGCGGTGAAATTTTATAAATGTACAATTATTAGTGTTACAAATTGTTTGTGTCGCAAACTGTTGTGTGGTGGTGTTTTACTCTGTTAAAGAGCGTTAGTTGTGGGTTGTTAATTGTTGTTATAAAGTTATAACCATGACTAGGGTTCCCTCTCAATACACTAAAGATAACTAGCTCCGAATATTACACTCCTAGCGGCGAACAATATATTTCGCTGCCTGTTGAAAAGTGACAGAAGTTGTTTCGGCTGTTCACGGTATATGAAAAATTCATATCGTACGGGAGATTAAAACTGGTATACCACCCAGGCCTAGTCCATACTTTGTGGTCCAGATTTTGTGTAAAATAGGCAAATTTTTCCAAGCATGGATATATCTTGCATCATGGCTTACTTAAATAAGCTAGTGAAAATTGACCAAGAAAATTTTTACTATCTAACTTAATTTTGCAGGCTAATGTAAAGAAGCAATTTCTCTAACGTTAGCCAGCTTCTGTAGCAAGTTCAACAGTTTTGAAAAAACAAATTTGGTAATTTTACACTCATCAAAGTTGAACTGAAAAACATTTCTTTTTCTTTGCAACATTAAACACTGAAATGTCTATATAGCTAAAATAATGTAGTGTAATACGACAGCTCTACAATAAATACTCACTTCATTGAGGTTATGATACATTGTTAAAGGTGTTGAATCCACGTAATGATCATTTTGGAGGCTTAAGTTTGTGGTGCTGATAAGTTGTATTGTACATAGCCCATAAAGTCCTGTCAGGGGCTATTTTTTAACATCTTTTTAGCACAATTATCTTGCAGGGAAAAGTTATTATCTCGTACACACAAGATAAAAATATACAGCCATGTTTAGAATGGCAGTAGTAGTAAATAAAGTGAGAAGTAGGGTAATTTTCTCACTGACTTCTATAAAATCTGATTTATTTTTGCAACCAGAGGAGTGGCCCCTGCTGGCCATTTAAAAGAATACAAGTTGAAGTACTTTCTGCCTGCTTCCCAGAGGCTTAAAGATAAAGGGGCATTACTGGATACTCGCAAAAAGGAGTACTGTACAGTATCTCCAGTTGGATTTCAAAAGCAACAAGAGAAAACATATATTTGGCTTTTTATATAGAGTTGGATAACTTATGAATGGTAACATGATTCTAACATTTTTACTGTCATGTCAACAATTTAGTTTACACTCTTATAAATGCTATGTTAAATTCCCCCAGATCCACCCAGCCAACTACACAGTGGAGGTGAAATCTGCCTTTCTCCAGGCAGTGTTTGACAGAGGGAATCTGTCCTCTCCAGCTATCAATGACGACGAGTTCTTGCTGTGGCTGAGGGTTCGACTGAGACCTCTCCTGGTCAACCTCTCTCCCAGCTTGGTGACACCATTATTCGACATTGTGAACAAGAGGAGTTGCAACAGCAGCCAAGAGATGTAAGAATTCATTTCGTTGGGGTTATGATCTATGATTGTTATGATGTGCGTAATTGCTTAAGACTGATTTTAATCTGAATTTAGGATTACATTGCTGGACACACAACACTTGACACTCAGCAACAACACCCAACAGGAGATCTACAAAAGAACCCTCCTCCTCCTCCAAGGTTTGCGTGAGACATCAATCATGACAAAAGAAAATTTCTTTCAGAATATTTGTTTTCTGGCAATATGTTCCCAAAGTTAAAATTGTAATTATTGTTTTTATTAAGATTATTCTGTATTCCGATACACAGTAATTTAATTTGTGTTTAAAACAGATTCAACGCTCCTCAAGTGTTACAGTGGTGGAAGCTTCTACATCTATCTGAGAAGCACTTTCCTCAGCTTTGGTTTTCCAGATTTGTCCACATTCACATCACTTCTGCCACAGACACACGAGTCAGAGGTAATAATATTACAAAACAACACTTTAATTTAGCCCTCTGTGTGGGAATTTAAATAGGAGTCACCACCTGGTGATAGCTTTGATGCAAATTCCCACAGATGTTGTGCTATTCCAGCAGTAATATCCACATTTCTTTTTATTCTTTTAGCTCCTAAGTACCATCAGCACCTCAGAGCTGCGTCAGTTCCTCAGCCAACCCAATGTGATTGGTAACAACTCTGACATCTGTGTCATCTTCAACAACTACAACAACACTCGTGCCTTCCTAGAAAATGTATGTCCCTTATCTGAATGGTGCCATATAACATGCATTATTATTGATGAAACATGTCACATGTTGCTGTTAGCAGCATTCATATGATGATTGATTCACCATAGACAGTATTTTTATGTAATACTTAATTTGATCATCTGTAAATGACAGTCTTTCATTAAACATGCAAATACATATGTGTGCCAATAGGAGGATGTTCCAGATGATGTGAAGATGGTGATCCTTCCCTGTGTTTGGCCTTTGGCGCTGAGCAGCAACACCAGATCCGAAGTGGATTTCTGGTTCGACCTGCGGCTGAAAAACTATATTAGATTCCTCAGCAAGAGCCTCATCAGTCCCAACACAGTGCAGAATGCTTCATGTCTTGCCTTCCAGAAACTGTAAGTCTCATCTTTTCACAGTGTCAGCAAGCTCATGGCCATCATTAAATTTGTGTTATTATCCTTTCACTAGGGTCTCTGTAATGGGAAATAACTTCACATACAACTCGGAGTTTGGACAGGGTGATGTATACACCACCATGAGCACCTACTTGAGAACTGGTAAGATCCATTTTTGAGCAAATGTACAATGTACAATGGATGTGGATCTAAAGGATCTGACTATCCATGCTGAGTCTAACTTTCTCTAAGTGCAGTGCACACAGCTAAAAAATATATATTTTAAATGATTTGTCATTTGGTGTAGGTGGAGAAGTGTCCATACCCAACTGTACAAAATCACTTGGGCAAATAATGTGATTACAGAGAACATGAATTAATAGGGATGTGAACTGGATTTTTATACAAAACATTGCCCTGTGCAGCTTTACATTTTCTAAAACAAACTTTTCATCACAAATGATTTTTTGGCATTGCCAGTCTGTCATTACATTTTATAAAGTTTTTATTGTCAGGATGATACCTCAATGATCCCTGGCTTCCTCGATAGATGCAAAACTAATGACACTCCCATCAGCCTTAGCTGTACTTTGTGTTTAGTGCTAATTGGGAAATGCATGCTAACATGCTTAACTAAGATGGTTAACATTATATCTGCTAAACATATGACGCCAGAATTTAGCTAAAAGCACCACTGTGCCCAAGTTCAGCCTCACAGAGTCACTTGCAAGGCTGTAGACTTATTTCAGTGTAAGCTCCATTGGTCTTTAAATATTTGAGCCATCATATGTCATATAAAGAGATTACAATGATTGTTATATTATATTAGTGTTACATTGTATTTCATTTTTTGTTGGCAATGTTCTGGGTTTTCCCTCTTCTGTAGGCTCTGAAACCAGATGCTACAATGCCAGTGATGCAGAACAAAATTCTACCGCCTGGTTTGTCAATTACATCGGGAACTTTGTGACATTCATCACTGTGGATGATCTCACCACCTTCATCTCCACCAGTCAAGTATGTCCTGATATCCACTCTATACAACTTATTTCAAGTTAATGCTTTCACAAAATATAGAAGTTGTTTGTTTAATAGGACCAGCCATAGCGTTCACATTCGTAATCTAGTTTTGTTTAAATCTATTTATTGTTTTATTTTCAATACCTTTTAGTTAAGGCTGAGAAAACTAAAGGCAATAATAAAAATGTATTCACGTTTGTGTTGATATATTTTTAAAGGCTGAAGTTTTCTTGGTGGACCAAGCCAACCTGGAGCTCTTCAACAACACAGCAATCCCACAAAATGTAACGGACTACTACGTCTCACAACTTTTTGCATTCCACCCAACCTTTAGCCCTCTGAAGTGAGTATCCACCAATTTGACAAAATATGTAATTGTGTGACATATGCAGTATATCATATATATATATATTAGTGGGTGAATATATGTATCCATGAATTAAAACGTCTATATTTATTTTTCATCTAGGGTTCCTGGCCTTTTCATATGCTCTTCTGAGGTCCCAAGTGCGACATATTCTTCTTTGAATGAATCTGATACCATACTCATCCTGAAGGAGCTGAATGAATTATGCAATGGAACAGAGGATCCTCAGGTACCAGCTCTGATTATTTCTACACAGAAATGGAGATTGAGTTTTTTTGAGAACTCTTTTTATGGGTAAAACCCGAAAACAACTCTTGGTCTATGTCTTTCTGATAATTGTGCATGATTATCTTCACATCTTTCTTTGACATATCATTTCAACTGAAGTAAAATGTCCTCAGTTGATGTTTCTCGTAACCGGGTTTGTTTTATTCTAAAGGTGTCTGCTGCTCTGGCATCCAACATCCAGACCTTCACATCAGAGACGATTGTGACCCTGGGCAGTGCCACCGGAGGCCTGACCAGCAGCCAGATCACGTCAATTTCCCCTTCAGTGCTGATTTCCTCTTTGTCCACCCTGAACACAGTCAGCACCTGGAACCAGGAGCAGTCCACCACAATCATCCAAGTCATGACTGCCTCAGGCTTCCTGGTAAAGGCCTTACTGTGTGCTTAACATGACTGATAATCATGAGATGTCTTCAACGCTTTGAAGCATGTTCAACAAGCAGTGTCCTGTGTTTGGTTCAGCGTGGTTTCATGAAATGGCCCTGACGTACACGCATATGCCACTTTGCTGACCATGACTTTGATAAATGCAAATGTATCCAACAGATCAGTGGATCCTCCCTGGAATCCCTCGGCACACTCATTGCTGGAGTTCCTTCAGGCTCAATTAAACAAATCTCAGCGTCTCAGCTATTCACCCTCTCCCAGAGCAGCACCTTTGTTTCCAACATGGTGAAAGCCCCCACAGTCGTCCAACAGACCTTCGTCCAAAAGGTACAAGTTAACTTTTGATTCTATCCCAGCATTGCAGCCGTTGCTGATCTAAGATTAAGATGAAAACAGATACTAGGATGCCTATCTTACGTTTTTTAAGTAAACCAGAGTGTAATTTTTTCTTCTCAAAATCCCAATTTTCCCCCCACCAACAAGAGCTGCAGATGCTCACAGTGCTCTCATTTTTGTGGATTTTATGTGTCATTTTATTGTAATGTGTTACACATGCCCGGTTGATATAAATGTGTGTAAATGCAGAAATAACATTCAAGAACCCCAGAACGCAGTACATGTTTTATATGTATTCACTATCAGGAGTTTTGAGATGATTTATGATCAGGGTTTTAATTCTTATTTAATTCCCTGGTAGATTATTACTGTGAACACAAATGCAGCCAGCGTGGTGCAGAATGTCCCTGATGCTATGGCAGCTGAGATTCCACCGTCCTTGCTGGCACTGTCTGCGGAGACTGTGGATATCAGTGTGATTAACAGAAAGCAGTGGACAGCAGATCAGGTCAGTATGTGGCTATAAACACAGAACAGAGTAAATTGGAGACAAGTTTTTGCCGATGTATTCAGACTTAAGCTATAGATATTACATTATAGTGAATTTAAATTTAGCACACTGTGACTTCTCACTGAAAGTAAAAATCCTTTAGAATTTTGAGGTGATTACCATCCGAAAGATCAACAACCCGCAAACTTCCTCTTACAACAATATTCTGGCACTGGGGAAAGAATATGTACGTCGAAGTCTATTCCAGGGTCTCAGCGCCTCAGTAGCTGAAAGGTTACCGTGCAGGCAACATATAACTGCAGGGTCCCCGGTCGATTCCAGCTGCAAGACTTTTGTTGCATTTCAAACCCCTCTCTCTCTCCCCCCATTTCCAGTCTGCCTCTAGACTTTCACCTGTCTATTAAGGGTGAAAAATGCCCAAAAGATTATCTTGAAAAAAGTCTAATCCAGGGTCACTTTAGGTCAGTTTTAAAACACACAGACCACAGGGACTGTCCTCAAGGTCCTATGTTGTTTTCCCCAAAGTCTGTGCTGTTTACAATTATCAGATGAAAGCTATAGGTAGACGAAAAACACTTACATTTTCCTCACACAATACATCAACACCAACACTGTCAATCACACCACAATGTATGATAGTATGTATCACAGTTATAGAGTGTTGCAGTGAAGAGTTAAATAATGAAGTTTTTATCTGTCTGTCTTCTAGGCCGCCATGTTTTTTGGAACACTGGATGGAGCAAACATTGACACCGAAGAGTAAGTGAATAAGCTCCACAACATTTATTTTCCCCATGGAAGATTTTTCACGATCTATTAACCTGTTTTGTGGATTTTCCATTATCCCCAAAGGCTTAATCCGTCTGTTCTGCAAGGCTTCACGTGCACGTCAGTTTCCAAAATGAAAAAACCCAGAATCCGAAGAATGGTCCGTGCCTGTAGGCCGAGGAGAAGGAGGTCCAAGGTGCAGCTGAAAGAATCACAGGTAAATTCAAATTAACTCTATATGAAACTAAGATTAATTAAATTAAGCCCCTTAACTAAAGTTTATAATTAAGATAAATTGGATATATAATGCCAGAGTCATGAATAAAAAAAAAGTGCGATGTATTATGGAGTCGTTTAAATGTATGTGGAATTCCGTGTCTTTGCATCCTTTTTTACAGCTTACATGCATGTACAACCTGGTCCAAGACAACCTCTCCCAGAAATTCACAGAGTATCCCTCAGACATGCTTCTCTACTTAAAGTGAGTCTGTCTCCATGCATTTGTTTTGGAATGGTCTCACGATGTGCCTGCGATTTCAAATGGTATACATGTGCTCATTGATGTTCCTTCTATACCTGATTATTACAGGAGCAAAGATGTCACGAGTGCCAACTGCAGGTCATACTTTTCCGCAGTGGGTGCTGCAGACTTCTCTGTGGCCTCCAGCATTTTGAACAAGGCATCGCTGCTACTCAGTGAAGCCAGGACCTGCTTGGTGAGTGTCATTCAAATGAAGGTTCGCTTTGGTTTAGCTAAGGGTGACAGGGTAGGCTGCAGCTTGTTGTAACTGGGAGAAAAGCTTGAATCACCATTGTATGGCAACAGTAAGCGATTGGGATGTACCAAAAAAATGTATACATGCATCATTGAAAAACTTCAGATAAGTCCTGTTAAAATGTAACTGAGAATAAACAACATTCTCAGTATGGCAGGAAAGGGAATTACCATGTCCCATATACTGTAAGTGGTACCAATGTATATCACCAGTTAGACTGTCACGGTACACTGTGGCCCATTTTTTAATTAAATACTGTGTTTTTAACCGTTTAGGGTATAAGTGGTGTGACTCTGAGCAGAGACAATGTGGAGGTCCTAGGGAACATGGCCTGCACTCTGGACGGTTCTTACATCGAGAACGCTGATCTTCTAATTCTGGAAAAACTCAAAGTCTGCACCGACTTCTCTAAGAGCCAGGCGGCTGCCATGGAGAGGCTGCTGCTGTCTGGGGAAACAAAATACGGGTACAATAATTTGATTAATAAATAGCTATTTAGACTGAAAATTAAAGGATATGAGTTGTGATATTCTATATTCTTCCTATTGTTCTCAACGTCAGCAAATCCCATGAAATGACCGGCACCAGCACTATATTGATCTAACCAAAAAAGTATTGTCTGTGTGGCCAAAACCTGATGGCTCTGTGCCATAAAGCTCCTTTGTCATCCAGGAAATGCTGAAAATATATTTTGTATACCTTTTGTTAAAAACTACAGTGCCTAGCTGTTGGCAATAAGAAGCCTAACCGTTCCCGTTCAGATATCTACTAGTCCAAAGTCAATTTTTACTGCACACGATATTTCTTTTGTCAGTAATTGTCAAATGATAACAAAGACTAAAGTTAATTGTCATGTTTAATCTTCATATAAGTAAATTAATCTGGAGTGTCTCTTACATCTTCTAACACCATCCAGCTCAACTCTTTTCACCAAGTGGGTATCACGTTAGAAAGCCACACTATATGAACATGCTATCATTTGTTTTTCAGGATTGTCAAGACCTGGAACAAGCTTACACTGCTAAGCCTTGGTGACCTGCCTCTATATTTCACAGGAGCCATTTGGGGCCAGATCAAAACTGTATGTTTTTCACCTTTACCTGTTTCTTGATGCTAATTAAACCAATAATATGTGTTTAATCTTGTGATTTTAAAGTAGACACCTTATTAAAAAACAATTAATTTGTGCAGAGAACAAAGAGAAGGTTCCTTAGGACCTTTCTGTTCCAACTGAGGCAAAAAAAGACAAAGAAGAGCAAGCTCAAGAAGCTGGTTCGAGAGGCTCGCACTCGCAGGACAAAACGAGGAGCAGGTAAAGATGAAAGAGGCCGAAAGCCACAGGTTTATTTTTTCTTACTTTGCAGATGTTGATACAGTTCAATATTTTACAAAACTGGTGAGCATTTGTATGTGTTTGTGTGAATTTTATAGAATGACATAAAGCAAATTGATACACTCGTGTGTCTAACACCACTTACTTTGTTTCCCCTCACGTTGGTCAATTATCCTCAAGGCTGCACTGTGGGCAACATCACCCAGGTGACAGTCAGCGACAACGCCTTCCCCTTTGGTTACGACCAGACTCAGTTTGACCTCTGCCTGGACATCCCTGTTCTGAGGGACAACCTCAACTCTATCTGCGAGAAAGTGGACGAGGATGATTTCCAGAAGATAATTCTGACGAAACTCAACCAGGTCATTTTTTTTGTATGAAATGGTTGCTTAGTATGAGGCGTACAGTATTTACATATTTTTTTCCGGATATGTGTGATTGAGATATTCCTTCACCATTCAGCCTCGCTGGTAATGGAGTTTTTCGAAACATATCCAGAAATCTTGAGAAATAACGACAGGGATTGTTACAGGAGTATACCAGAATGTGTTTAACATCTTTGGAGACATATTTTAATATATTACATGCTTGTTTTCAGTTGTTATCTGTGAATGTGTTTATCAATTTAGAGGTTATTATGGTACAGCAGCCGTCATGTCATGTGGCACTGGCAAAAGTTGTTTGGATGCATTTATTGATAGGGAAATACGGTGGGATTTTTATTTACATGATTTAATTTTCATTTCCACTCACCACCATGTGTTACTCCCCATTCTCTATTCTTCCAGGCATTCCCATCGGGTGTTTCTGATGAGAAAGTTCAGGTGCTCGGTTCAGTGTCTCGTGTGGCGTCAGTTGGTGACATCTCCAAGTGGAGCATCACTAAAGTTGACACTCTGGCAGCACTCATGAAAGCTGATGATGGATCATGGGAGGCAGCAAAGGTACAAAGTAGAGGGATTATCAACACGTCAAAATGTCTGAATTTTGAGTCGTAAAACTGACTTATGTCAAATATTATGAAATATACTCATACTTGTATCCATTCGTTCACTTTCTGTGTTATCTTTAATGTTGTTTAGAGCAAAGCAATCATCACCAAGTATCTGGGTACTTCTGGGAACTCCCTGGGAAGCACTGAGCTGAACAGTATTGACTCCAACGTGTGCTCGTTAGACACCAGTACACTGAGGACCATCACCGCAGATAGTATCAGGTGGGTTGTAGCATGCAGCTCAAAAAGATGCCTTAACATGACCCCTGAGATTGATGATGCAGATTAAACATTGTATGTTACTGTGTCCTTGAACCTTGTCAGAAATGCCAAACCACTCAATGTGGCGTCATGTTCATTGGAGCAGAAGAGAGTCCTGTATGAGATCAGTAACATTTCCTTCAGCTCACCGAGTTCCAGCTCCAATACCTATTACAATTTGATACGTCCCTATCTAGGTAAGAATTCATGTTACCTGTCTTTCCGGCTGTTTCTCTCTCTCTCTCTCTCTCTCTCTCTCTCTCGTGAAACTGCTCTCTAATCTCCTGTATTCCTCTCTACCATGATAGGTGGGGCACGTCTGTCGGACGTAGTAGCACTATCAACCACGAACATCAGCATGGACATAAACACTTTCGAGAGTCTGGATCCTAATGTGACCGCTGTAAGGATACTAGAGTTGACAACAGAACGGGTTTTGGACATGCAACATCTGTGTAGTAGTTTTATTGAGAATGCATGGCAATTGAGCCAAAACGATGCTCTAGCATAACTTAACTCTTAAAACTGTATCGATTTGGGAGGGTCTGAAGCTCAGTAGAACCCATTAAGGGATTGTATGATTTTGAATCAAAGACTTAAAGGAATAGTTTGACATTTAAAGAAATGTGTATATTTAGTTTCTTGCTGGAAATCAGATGAAAATAAAGATGGTATTGATCTTCTCATCTATCTATTCCATGAATGGTTGTGAAGAACATACACCCATCACTGGCAGATGTTCAATGCGAAATGGTCAATGACTCCTGTAGTTTAGAAATGTATAAATCTTCCTGTCATCCTTTCTATTTAACATAACATACTATATGTGCTAAATCTGTACTGGATTTTGAAAATGTCATGAAAATAGCTTATACCAAAAGTGTGTCGAGGAAAAGAAATGAAGCAACTTCCTTTCAAATCAATATTTTTGCAGTTCCTTATATGTTAAAACTTCAGACCAATCTTCACACTGTTTCATTTGTAATGTGCAGGGTTTGACTGTGGCCGATGTGAAACTCCTCGTGGGTAGCCATGTACAAAATCTGAAGTTGTTTGAGAACGCTACCCAAGTTGAGAACTGGAGAAACATGCAAACGCAGTCAGACCTGGACAAACTGGATGTGGGCCTAACCACCAACAGAGTCACCAGTGCCACAAACCCTACCACATCAGCTGGAACCAGCAGCATGACAACAACACAGGGTAAAAATACATACCTTTTGTGTGTATTGACACACAGGGGGTTTTATGCTTTCACTACTAACAGACTACTAGCTACTAACAGGAACTTTAATTTTGTGTTGATTTGGCGGTCCCYGTGGACTAAAGAGTTAGTGTTTCCTAAATCCTAATTTTACTGCAGCAGGGTCTGAAAGTCGGCCCCGCTTAGTCCTAGTCCGATGCAACAAAATGGATTTAAAGCAGATGAAGTAACTGCTGCGATCTGACCGATTTTACAATGCACCATCTGACTACATTGAATCTTATCCACAGGAAGCTCAAGCAGCTCAGGTGCAAACCCGACCACAGTGACGACACCACAAGGTGAGCGACTGCGACCTAATTTCCAGTAGCAGTTTACCCACTGTAAATTAAATGTGTATATATTGCTTTAATATATTGCTATTTTAGTTGCATAATCCTTGCTTTATCGGATTTTTTAACCATGTGAAAAATGACAAGAACTGTTGAGAATGGAATTCTGCCTCTGTGATAAAAGTAATCACAGTATATATGTTTGTTTTTGTCTTTTATTTCTAGCTACTACCACAAGCGATGGAGCTCAGCTTGCAAGATACCCAACGTCCATATTTGTGGTTGCTCTGCTGACAACTGTGCTGCAAATGCTACAACCAGTCTAAATAGACTCGTGACTTCCTAATCATATCAATCAATAATCAGCAACTATTAAATTCATTTTTCAGTAATGGTAACACCTCGGGATCTTGATTCATTCATATTTTTGTAAGTTATGTATTCATGCTACAAGAAAATTGTTTTATTGCAACTGTTTAACGTCTGATTCACTCTATCCCTTCATGTTGTAAAACTATGTCATTGAACAATCACAGCTGTTAGTTTTATTTTAAGTGGTGATCGGGATTATATTCTGGGATTTTTTAAATTAAGCACCGTCAATAACATGTTTGTTAAATTTTTATCAAAATCGAATTAAAAATGAATCTTAATGTCAATGTATTATCTATTATTACAATTTAAACTGCCTTTCTATTCTTTGAATCAATAAACACATACTAATGAATATCTAATGTTTGTGTGTCTCTCTCTTGGAGCAGATGTAAAGAAAGTTAACACATGACGTGTCCTGATTTTTATGGATTTTACCTACCACTACCAAATCCAACAGTACTCTTGAATAATCCCCAAAGTGGCAGAGTCCATTGAAAAAAAAAAAAAAATTTTTAAATGTTTTTAGTACTGACCTTTTACGTGAAAAATTAACTATAGGTCTCCAAAACCATGGTTGTGTGTATGCCAGATTTATGTAGCTCTAGGGAAATATGTTTCAAGATATCTGCAAGGCATTGATATACTACAGTTTGGATAATGTATTTATTTTGTAAAATACAAAGTGATTTGTCTATTCCTACCTAAAACATCTTACTGGAATGCATAAACCCACTTAATACGTTGTAGTATCCCATCAAAGAAAACAGTTTTAGACACAACAGTCTGCATCCATACTAGCAGCTGTGTGAGGCTTTAAGCTGAATGCAAATGTCAGCATGCCAATATGCTCACAATGTCCACGCTAACATTTAGCAGGTATATCCTTTACAGGTGGCGTAGTACAAATAGCGGCAAAGTCCATTTATGGAGGAGGTCGTACTTACGTAAAGTCACTTTTGTAGTGACGCATGAAAAACAACAAAATACCTTTGGCAATTACTTAAACACTGAATTGCAAATGAAGAAAATTATTTATTTTATTGGATGACACATTTTACACGATCACAAGGCCAGATGGAAAGTTGTGGGCTCAGCAAAGTGACTACAATTCATCCTGAGGGGAAGATGCATGTGTGAATTTTATGGCAATCGATCCAATAGTTGTTGGGACATAACACAACATTCAACCTCCTGATGGCCCTCGAGAAAAGGACAGTATCCTCTGGGCACCATGAATTTATGTAACAAATATCATATGGCAATCGATTCAAACTGATGTTAACATGGCAAAAAGAGGAAAAAAAACCCACTTCACAGTAACACAGTAACCCACACAAATGAACTACATCAGAGAGATTAAAATTAGCTCTTAAAAAGGTGGAATAGGTTGTTTTCATTTTTATATTTGATACGTTTTTTGTGTTCATGATCCCATCGTGTTTTTGTGCTTTCAATCTGTATTCAATTCGAAATGAAAAATGTAATTTCAGTTCTTAACAGCATTTGTACCAAATGTAACAAGGCACTCATGAGATATGGTCCTAAACTGCTGTGTTTTATTGTATTCAATGCTATGCTTATTTCTGGCCTCTGCACTGTCGTAATAGGTAAGCAAAGTTGCCATTGTGAGTTCATGATACAAACATCAGTAGGCTGTGTCTGCTTGGCTGTTAGAAAACACAACAGCAGACGCAACAACAGCAACAACATTAAGGTCAGACTCAAATCGGAAAATGTAGGCATTGGTAAATGTTTCGTCATCACCGATTGGATTTCTGGCAAACAGTAGTTCTTCTTCTTTTGGATATCGGTACACTGGATGCCTTGGGGCACATTGATGCCTCTCGCAGGTTGGGATGATAAGATCAAATAAAACTTTATCCCAGGGGAAATTGCTGTGCAGCCATTGCAATACAAAGTGGGAAGAGTATATGAAGACACAGTTTTTGTTATACCACTAACATTAGCAGACCCTTTTGTTTCATACCACGTAAAAGCTCATTTGCAGAAGAACACCTTGTGTATTCATTTTATTTCACATCATCTGCTGCTGTAATTCCAAATGAATCCTGCAGTTCATCTTCTCCGTCAGGTTAGGTGTACATCGAAAGGTACAGCCACTGCAAATTAAGGAGGGATAGATTATCACTGTGCTTCAGTGTATCTGTAGCACTGGTTAAACGCATGATCATTTCATCACAGAAAACAAACTATTTAATCCAAGAATGACTTATAGTGCAACACACTGGGGGAATGGAATGAAACACATACTTATTTTCTCCAATAAAACAATTCACTTACTTTGTTTCTAATAAACAGCAGTGCACATTTTAAAATGTTAAAAACTTAAATGACCAAAAACTTTCAAAAATTCACAACACTTCTGTTACTTTTCTTAGCCTACCTCGTGTTCGAGAAGAGTCAATTTCATTCCATTAGACAACTGGCTGAAGATTTCTATTGCGAAAGACACAAATATTTATTACTACGTCCAGATCTTCACAGTCGTGCGCACATGTCCTGTTCTCCGCTGGTCTTTATACCACTAGCAGCCCCCATTGAGTTTTTTAGCCCCTGACCTGGGCACTCAGGTGATTAGGTCAGGTGCAATTAATCACCAATTAGCCTCAGTCTATATAGAGAACAGTTCATGCATAGTTTTGACCAGATCATGTATATAAGATCACTATTCAACTGCATGTTCTGCTTTAGTCCTTTTGCTTTGTGTGCCTGATCTGACTGTTTCAGATAAACCTGCCTAAATGCAGAGAAAAGACTATCGAATTCCTCAAAGTCTGTTTTTGGGGTTCAAGTTGTTAGACTGTTGCAGAGATTGAAATTAGTTTCTTATACGTGATGCTTTTGCATTTGCTGTTGGGGAAAAAAACAACTTGGTATTCTGCAGCTCTTTCATGGTAAATTTGATTTACACATTTAAAATAAGCAAAAATAGTTCGCTAATCACATCGAAAGGATATTTAAAGTCAAGGATAACATTCTGAGAAAAGTTTAATTTCAAATTCAAATTTTAGTGTCGTCTACTGTCGTTAAGTATACTTACGGTTCATGCAGTCAAAGCGAAGGACTAGACTGATGAAGCTCTCCAGTGTTATGTGTCCAGAGGAGGCACCATAGCGCAGAGCCATCATATTCAGAATGTCATCGTTGATCCTCTTTCCTGAACAACATACAGATGGCAAAACCTTAGGTTTGATTTATATGGGCATCAACAAACTATTGTTTTCATTTATGATTAATCTGTAGATTATTGTCCATTTCATGAAGCTGTCATGGCCTGCTAGGATACGTGAATAGAACAGACCCATAGTTAGTGTGACGAGTAACACCTGTGCTTTTCCTACTACGACGAAGTGAAAATGTCTGCTGTGAAAAAGGGGTTCTGTGCTTGGACTCCCAGTGTTTGCAAAGTGGCTGGAATCTGTTTAACTAAATATATTTTCATCATCAATGTTCGTCAAATTCAAAAGCAGGGGATCGACGTCACATATTCAAAGTACAGTTCAGTATTTATATCGTTGCCAGAGAAGCGTGCTGTACTTTTATTACTTTAATGATTGTGAATGTGGCCAAAAACTCTTGCCAAGTTTTGCTAACCCTTCCTTTAAGATGTACTGCTACATACCACAGCAAAATAAAATGTGCATACATCAAATGCATTTAATGCATTATAGCCCCAAGACTTACACCCCGAACAAAGGCAGTCGTTATACCACCCTTACATAAATGTAGAAACCTGGTTGGTGATTCACATGTGGTCTTCTCTCAGCTGTAATACTGTGTGGGTTTTAGTGGCATGATTGGCATTAGTCATATAAATACAACAATCACGACAGGCTGCTATTAATGAATTTTAACAAATTTCCCCATGCGGGATGAATAAAGTATATACAGTATCTATCTATTCGGCTTTTGTGGTTGTTAAATGTTTTTGTTTATGCACATGCTAACATGCATGCGTGGATGACCACACATTATCATGATACAGATCTTTAAGAACACCCATCGGTGGTTAAATCTGTGTATTCTTGGTTACTGTTGTATAGTATCTGACGACTGGTTTGATAACATTGTTTTCCAGAAGAAGAAAAAATACTGTTTAAGGGTAAGCATTAGAAACTATTTGCTCGGCGAGATTTCAATTTATGAGATTTAAAGAGGAAAAATCCCTGGATGGTTTAGTTCTGTCTGTCGTAGACAAATGGAAGTGGCTGATCGTCTACCTGAAGCCATGATTGCGTTCCTCAGCTCGCTCAGTGACAGTGTTCCTGTTTGTGATACATCAGAACGGAAGAAAATGTCCTGGGGAAGGAGATGACAGTTGGTTATGTAAGGTTCTGAGTTTGACACAGCAAGAAAACAAAAACCCTATGAACTTTAAAAGAGGACACACCCTAAACCTGCGTTTGCAGTGGAACGAGTTAAACTCATACAGTCATGTCCGTAATTACTAGGAAGCACCCAGTTATCTTTCTTTTGTTGTGGAATGTTGAATTAAACCTTCACTGATCCCTTTTTACCTTGTACATGACGACCTTCTTCCACAGACGAACAAATTCCTGATCATTCAGTTTGCCGGTGATTGACGTCTAACCCAATATTAAGGTATCAGAGCTGCACGTGTTGTTTCATGTCATAAGATGACCTTTTCCATCTATTCACGTGTGTGAAAACACCAAAAGGGCAGGCAGGTTTTGGCATGTGCACTACTTATGTGCCTTAAGCAACTACATTGACTGTGAGAAAGTCCTCCTTAAGACAGCTGGCATGGAGAAAAGAACTCCAGAACCCCGATTCACAATGAATATAACCAAAGAGGATACATCCATCAGAGCAACCATGCTGCGACAGGCATCAATGCTGAAGCCTCCAGATTTCAAGTCTCCTAAATGAAGAAGAAACAAATTGCGGGGCACTTAATTTGACATAGCAGTGCTATAAGATTATTTGAATACTTTGTTGGCTCATATGCTGTCCTATGCTCTTGGAGTTTTTACAGTGCAAACCTTTCAGGATGCGTTCATTTAGAAGCTTCTGGAGCTGCTCAGCATCCACTTCTCCGTACTAGAAATGGAAGGAAAACAAGGAATGACTCATATTTGGCTCACACTTGGTTGTCAGAAATTTGGTAACCTTTATATTAAGGGGAAATAATAGCATGCTACACATCATGACATTGATATAAATCACAAAGGTGCAGATTCGTGATGCAATGGAGCAGTAACCACAAAGAAGAAACACCAAAATGATTAATGACTTAGCTCAAACATAGAAAATACAGTACAGACATGTCGTGGTTAGGACCAATAACTCTTCCGAGTCTACATCGGCGGATAATGCAACAAGGCAAGATGCATATTTTCCAGAATGTTGAACTATTGCTTTAAGACACACAAATTACCTTGTCAGAGTACTGACGGAACAAGTTTTTCTTTGTTTCGTCGCTGTCTCCATTCTCAATTCGCATGGGCTGCAAAAATATTGTGAATTACTTTCAGCTCCACGTGAATTAATGCGCTGTTCAATATGTTTATGTCATATTTTATCTATGCAATCAACACAGTAACCAGCATGTAGCACAACAGCGATACCAAAATGATTCGAACATTGTCAATATATTTCAAATCTTGCTCACCTCTTCTGCATCGTTATGGTCATGGCCACCAGAATTCTCACTAAGAGGAAAGAGGAAGAGACATCAGTACATGACTTGAGGCATTGTTGAGCAGTAACGCATTACTTAGTAACACATTACAGTAACAAGTAGTGTAAGGTATTCCTATTTGAAATTCAGTATTGACATTACCGTTGCTAATCCCAGTAACGCTCCGTTAATTCAACGTTTTGGGGATCGGCTTGTTGGCCTCTGACACACTACTTTTGCTGCTGAGTAATTAATCAAAATAATGTTGTTTTTTTAATAAGGAATGTGAGTAATTGTAGTAATCTTTGTTTTTCGTTAATAAAAAGGTGGTTATATGTGGTGTGTGGCATATAGATTAATTGCACAAGCTTTTTTTAAAGATTTATTTGTGAGTTGTGAGTGACTTACTGGACGTGGGTCTCTGCCTTGGAGACGATGGTCACGAGGAAGGAAGCCGTCTCATTGGGATTGAAGGTGGAAGGCACGATCAGGTATTCGCCAGGCTTCAGCTGGAGGAACTCCATCACCTCGCGCCCATTCATGTAGGTTTTAGTTTGGGCAACAGGTGGGTTGCTGCGGAAGAAAGAGGCTGGGAACTTCCCCCTCCTTGCCTTGTACTGTGATGAATACATATTTCAGTTCATATCATAGCTGCACAATGTAATCGGTCATGTACTGTGCATGAGGATTAGAATGAAAATGTTACTTACTTCTTCAGTCACCTTCGAAAAAAACAGAAGAAAAGCTTTTTTTAGGGACATACATTTGTGAATACTTAAGACTTTGAATATGCTGCATTTAAAATGGCTTAAAGAACCAATGTTCTGTGGTGCTTTTTCTTTGTGAATCAGCCCAGCGATGTGCTTACTATGATGACACAGAGTGACTGATTCTAAAGAACAGTTTCATTGTTATTTTCATTTAGTGTGAATACTTTCAACAGACACCTCCAATGTCTATGCATGATATATCCATAGTATAGTTGTCGCACTGTGAGAAGAACAATGAAGGGTAATATTTACCTCAAATACAGAGAATCCAATGTGGAGATTTTGGACTAGGCGTCTGTTTCTCTTGTCAGGCTTTTGCATGAGAGACACCAGCATGTTTTTCTCGCCCTGTTTCTCAGAACAGTCACCGAGTAATTCATCAATCTTGACACGATACTGTGGATTAGACCAGAAACTGTCTGGAAGGCAAAGAGGTAAACATTTTAGCATTCTACCATTTTGCTAAGAGACAGGCGAATCTCTTCATCATTTTAAAAAGGTTAAAGCCAATTCTTCTTCGATGTATCAATGGATGGATACAAAGATTCATATAGGGGACAGTGTGTGTGTGTGTTTGAGTTTTTCTCTCAATACAAATCTCTAAATTCTCAAATTGGTACGCTCCAGTCTCCGTATACTGCTTTTGAAAGGACAGTTTTGCACCACATATTTTGGAAGTACCAAAGTTATTCATGCATCCTCCAGCAGTTGTTCCTGCAACCCATCGGCCTTCATAAAAGGCGGTCTTCCAATGGCATGAAGAGCTTTCATCAAGGAAGTCGGGACACAGGCAGCAGATGTCAAGATCTGAGTAGAACTTACAGAAGTCCTGCAGGGTCATCCTGTTGACATAGGGGATTCATTTAGATCACACATTGTTGTGTTAGCCAGAGATTCACTTCAATCCATCTATGAAAAAATCTATTTCAAGTTATACTAAATTGCAATGTAAATCAGGATTAAATTACGATGCCTCTCTTGGCCACATGTGTCCTTGAAAAAGATATGTAGAAAAAGATATGTAGATATTGAGTATATTGAGTATATTGAGTATACTGTACGTACATCCTAACACTGTACTTTTTGATTGTAAAACTGTGGTTTCGAAATACAAACTAGTTTTTAATCCCTTTTAAGTATAAATATTATACCAGTTTTAATTAAAGAAAATTTGTAGACAAAAGTTGAGAAAACAAATACAAAAATGTGGCAGTTGCTGCTTTATATTTGTATAAGTATGTCACAAAATGTTTTGCATTTGGAATTTTTTGAAATGCCTGGCACCAAATTTTGATTTTAGCGTGCTTACCAAAACTCCCCTTCATCAGCCACTGAAAGGCACATCTCACGATCTTCACGACTCACAGTTTGCCACAAAGGGGACCTTTAGATGCAATTTGTCAGGGAAGAAAGAGGAGAAGCAGCATTGTTATAAAGAGAAGCAAGTAACTTTTCTACAAGGGGGGGGGCACAATCACAGTGCCAAGAGCACTCGAGTGGCCGGTTGGTTTAGACCAGATGCACTCTTGCAAATCTTGGCATAGCGTGGTGGCTTTGGAGGAGCAAAGTTATTTCAGCTTGGGCTCGAAGACTATACATTTTTAGAAGTGTAAAGCCTGTAAATATTATAGCATTGAGTTTGAATTGTGTAGCATTGTGTGATTATTAACAATAGTTTCCATGGCATCATGACATTCAATTTAAAAAGCTAACAGATATTCTTTTGGCAAAATGTCATCAAGCTGCATTTGCAATCCAACAAAACGTGGCTTGCAGAGACCTAAAACTTGCAAAACCAGTTGTGTGCAAACCGCAATTCTCATGGCTCTGTTCCAAACATCATGCTTAGCCCTGTCATGCAAGCATAAAACGACACATAACCGAGGGGATTATACTTCACAATGCACACAGCAATCATCTAGTATAACTTGGATGACTGTATGAGACTCCAGAAAACCTTTTGGCTGGGGTTTGCACTAATAATAATTTGGTTAGGAAACTAAGAAACTTTTAATATTGATTTAGCTTCCGTGAGAATAAATGCCATTGTACTATGTGAATGAAGAAGACCTGTCAAAACTTGGCTTCCCTGTGCATGCTTCGCACAACCAGTTTATGACAATGAGAAGGTTATTATAAATCAACTACAGAAAGGCGTCTCATGACTCTGTGCAGAACGTCCTCAACCCCTTTCCACATGAATTACACAAACATCATTTACCAATGCAGAGGTTATAATCAACAAGCAGACACACATTGTATTTGCATTCCCACAAAATGTGCCAGTGTGTGACAATAAATACATTTGGAATGTACAATTTTGTCATTGGAAAATAATCTCAGTGTTTATTTTCCTGAGGTAGCAACTCCGAGCCATTGCTCCGTGTAAAACAGTCACTGTGCTCGGGGTCGTTCTTACCGATCACTCCAGTCTCCTTTCCACTCTCCTGTGCCCCAGGGGTTCCACAAACGTACCAGGTTTGTCACTCGCTCTTGGCTCACAATCTTACCAGCAATTAAACAGAAAAAACACAATTGTTATTTCCCAATATACAGTAGAGGCCAACTTAAGGCCTTTATTACCCCAAAACTCTATCAATGAACCAAATCACTAGCAGACGTATAAGCTTCAAGCTTAACATCCTGACTGGTAAAATATACTGTATATATAATGCCTTTTTAAAAGTAATTCACCTGCTTCACACCGGTGACAGTGTAGGCATGGCCTTGGACCAATCCATTTGGTAACACAGTGTTGTCAGATGTCTCCTACAAGATATAGAGACTGTATATGTTATCAATGCAGGTAGTCATGTCCAACATACTTTTCCACAACCATGAACTAAATAAAGTCAACAAAAGACTTAACATATGATTTTGTTTACCTCTTTGATCATAGAATTGGCAAAAGCAACAACATATCAAATATTATAAATGTAGCTAAGATTCTAAAATATATAAACGAGCCAAGCATCAACATGTGTATTAAAAAAATGTCTTCTTGGCAGTATATACTGTATTAGATTAGCTCAATACAAAAGTACAAAAGGGGATGGAGAGGCTCATCAATGCGGCAAAAACACTGATGCCACCTAAAAATATATTAAAACATATATATTTGTATAACTTAGCTAGATATTCTCATACATTCAAACAAATCCTTGGAGCAAAAAGCTGTAAGTTCATCTAGGACAGCATGTTGACCCTCCAACATCATCAAACTCTCAGCCTGAAATAATGACCCATATTATGTTCCCTTCTTTAACATTAATGTTTTCCAATCAGCCAACTTCATCACATCAAGTCTTTCAAAATTTCGTAAAATGAACAAAATATTATGTGAAAATGATGTGTCCAGTAATTCAAAATGAACTGGATGACTGTATGTGACAGCTGCATCAACAGTGGTTCTCAACTGGTCTGGCTGCGGGACCCACCATCACCCCTTAATGACAAGCTGCGACCCAAATTTCCAACTTCTCAAATGTATTTAATGAAAAGATGGTGCAGTTTGAACCTGAGCTGAACATGTCCTCTGCAGTCGTAGTGTAGGGAGCTCTCTTGTGCAGAGGAATTGTTTCTGTCAGTCCCTGTCCCACACATGTTTCACGTAAACGAGTAAAACGGCTTCATGCTTTCTTGTGCCAGAACCTCGCTGCACAAAACACACTGAGGTTTTTGCCCTCTTTTGTCCTCAATGTAAGAAAATCCATATCTGATGTAGTCGGTGTCTACTTGCGTTTCGCTCAATTAGCATGTGAAAACAAACTTTGTGGGTGTTCTTCTATACTGTGACATGGCGGGTGTACATTAGCATTACAAGGCATTAACGCCAAATGCTGTTAAGAAGTGTGAATAGCTCCGCTGCAAACAAATCCCCTTCAAAATAAAAGCACAGGATTTTTTCAGGCAAAGGCCCGCGACCCACCAGTTGAGAATCACTGAACTAGACAACGTGATGAAGTGCTTTCATGCAACATTCCTTGCAACCATTCAAAACCTTGATTTCACCCTATCTTCCGTCACATATTTTCAATGTCTAACATGTCACCAGCCTCAAGCACTTTTCATTTAGGGAAAAGCTGTTTCTCTCACCATTCATGAAATGAGCATGAACTATTATAAAATCATGCCAGTGCTTAATTCACAAAGTTGACCAGACCAGACTTAGAGTAGTGAGATTCTACGGAGCCATTTAGGGATCAGTTTGGAAGATTAAAATGAACAATGGTCACAGGGACAAATAACCAGTACAAACAAACTACTAAAGAATTGAATTACAACAAGACTGACTTGCCTTACAATTAATAATGCTACTATTTAAAACAGCAGCATGTATCCCTCCCTATTGTGAGTCTGTAACTTTAAGGCATACTCAGCACTGAGTATGTAAGGTACATGACAAGTTGAGGCAGCTATACTGGAATGCAAAACATTTAAAGACTTTATGTATTTTGGCTAAGATCATCTAAGCCTTAGGATACTTTTATGAAACGTTTAAGCACATTCAATCAAGAAGAACCAGCTTATCCGTGGTTCTGTGTGGAACATTCATGCTTACCCCCTGCGGCGTACCACAGCCCATCAGTGACTTGGATTGGCCAGCTCTACACATCAGTTCCCAAAGGTCTTTGGGAGGGTCTTGCAGTTCAATACAAATATGAACACCACCGGTGAAGTCCACCAAAGCCTCGGCAGGGGTTCCAGCACTCATGTCCGAGTAGGAACCACACACTCTGACATAATTGGGTGGGAAATTACTTTCACAAAAACTCCAAAAAAAGGCAAAACTCTGTGAAAAAGCATTTCATGACACAATACATTGTTTTTTCATACTTGGCGTAGGCTTTCTCCAGCAAAGCAGGCCAGAACTCAGTTGGGTCTTTGGACTGAACGAAGATTAGTCTGCCATCAATTGTTGGTAGCTTATCATCGATGACAACATCCACCCATCTTCCAAATCTCCAGAACTGAGAGGTTGAGAAAGGACAGAATATAAAGAGATTCATAGCAAAATGCGATATTTACTATTTAGCAGAACCTACTTCTTGATCAACACTTCTCGCAATGATTTACCCTGAAGTGGAACAGACCGCAGTATTCCTGATCAAATTTTTGGTCAAGAGGAACAACTTGCTGAAGGATGAAATTCTGGAACGTCAGAGCGCCGATAGACGCGAGAATCCAGCAGTTTCCTGTGTGAAAAATGGTCATTGAGTTGGCAGGAAGGTAAGAGGGGTTTCCAGATTACAAAGCATTAATAATACTAACACAATGGAGAGGGAAGAAAATGCATTTGAACAATATCTTCTCTGCCCTACTTTAGTCTGTCTTTTGTGCCCATTGTCTGCCCTTTCTTCTAAAAATGACATTAATGGACCAACAATTTAGGCATAATTATGAATAAAGTAATTTTCTTACCAACCCTGCCTTGACCAAAGTCAAACCTGGAGATCCCGGCGACTTCAAAAGATGGATTTTGAACCATTTTCTTAAACAGAGCAATTGTTGACATCACTTGTTAAAGGTTTAATATGTTCCTAAATGTCAGATAACAATACAACAATAGACTACATCAATGGCTTAAACATTTTCACTTGAAGCAGCTTTCAACAATCTTAAGCAACAATCTCACTTTGAATGAAATAATATGAAGCAGTTGCTAGCACATGACACCAGCTAAGTGTACCGACCTGCCAAACATTGACAAAGATTCAAATGAAACACTCACTGATGGTCTCAGCCACACCACTCGCTGCAGGTCAGAAGGACTCAGTACCCCTTCGCCGATGGACCTTCTGTCAGGGGGGAACATGTCGTCGATGTACCTCACCCGTTGGATGAGACAGTACTGTTTCAGCTGCTCAAAGTCTTGGTTGAGAAACCGCTCAGGGTTGGCAAAGGTCCCATGGCCATCTTTTACGTTACGGGCATTAATAATGTTCATACACACACCCGGTGGAGCCATTGCAGTCTTTGAACTCTGTTCAGAAAAAGGAGATCAAAAACAATTTTGGCATTAAAAAGTTTGCTTGATTATTTTTTTTCTTCTTTTTTAAGAAGTTTGCTTATAAGATTCTATGAATACTACAGACTGAGTTAACACATCAATCTTCATCAATACCGGTTTGATTTCCCCTTTTCCTTAATAACTATGGACTTGTGGGGGACACAAACAGCAGATTCAACTACATACTTACAACCAAGAGACGGTATGGAAAGATATGCCTGGACACTCTGAACAAATAATGTGCATGCAAAGAAGCTTTAGTTTAAGGATTCATTCACTTGTCAAAGCCGACACTTATCGTTTGGACTACACTGTTGAAAGATGAATTCAATTAAGTTCCATGTATAGAACTTCAAATTCGTAATTAGTAATAAAAATGAATACAGTAAAAGAATGCATTCATAGAGTGGGGCTGTTATAAGCTTTTGAGGTCAAGGTAGTATTTTCCTCAACATAGATGTATTATTTTATTCTCTGTACATTTCAGTTCCTCCTTTTTTATAAAGGAGAATTAAGTCAGTGTTTATGTTTAGTTACAATCTTTCCTTGACATACCTGTTTGCTTTTATTCTCACAGTTAAATTTCATCTTTTGGAAAGTGACAAATAGGAGACACTCTGTGGTTACTGTGTGTCTTAGGGTACATTGATGCTGTTCAGTACAGTAAATCTAAAAACGGACAAATCTAATTTGTCAGTTTGCAGTAGTGTTTTCATGCACATCAGGACCCAACCAGAACTACATCACCGAATCACACACCACACCAACACACTGAAAAGGCCAAAAGTGCAATGAAACAATGAGGCGTAAATGCATACTTCTGGTCTCCTTTAAAAGGTAAAAAGCAAAGGAATAAGACTTTATTGTAAGTAAACCTATTTCTAATACCATTCCAGAGTAAATGAAGATGCAAAAATGGAAAAAAAAACAAGATTATTAATCATATACTGTATTGTATATCACCATTATAACCAACGGATAATAATCTCCCTCTATTTACTACAACTGTATCTGTTAATTTATGACATGACATGGAAACAATTTATAAATATATACTCAGGTGGTCACCATGGTTGAGACAAGCTTACTGTTTACATGTTTATTCCTTACTGGGAGTGTTGTTTCAAGAGATTGCTCAAAAAGCAGCAAATTGGAATCAATTATCATTGTGCCTAATACAACAGAAAGTCAAGTAAGCGATCCATTAAATTATAGACCGCTGGATTCAACCGCTGATATGTGTAAGTTAATAATGGAACTAATGCCCCTTTTGGAACAAATAGGTATGATCGTTGACTAATGACGCAATGATCCAGGAGTCTACTTCCCGTCAGCCCACGTTTCAGCCCAAGCTTACTGTGGAATCGTAAGTAACTAAATTCCGCTGTATTGGAGGAAATAACATGCTTTGGTGAAACTGTTTTCCAAGAACACAGCGGTTTGTCGGTCCGACAACATGTGAAGTTTGACTGCTTCGTGTCTACGCGTTAACGTGTCCCGTTAATAGCGTACGCTGTGTAGTTTGAGTCATGGAGCGTTTAAGTGCTCTCGCACACTCGGAATTTTTAGTGTCCGGCAATATCTAACATGTTGTTGTTGTTGTAGACATGGTAGAAAATGATCCCAGATCTTTTCAACATAACTTGCTGTTGTATTTACGATGGGAAGGTCATATTTGTACGACTTTGTTGTAAGTAATAAGACATAGTTTGGACAACATACAATTGTTTTACGGATTCTGAAAGTCCCCAAGTTTCCAAAAACAGTAGCCTACAACATGTATCTTCTATAAATAGACCAGCTTCCATTATGACTTTTTGCAACTGTCCGTCGGGCTCCAAAATCACATCGATTATTATTATACTAAATACAGAAAATAATGTATTTGAGTTGAATTTAGAATTCCAAAAATCGAATATATCATTATAGCCTATATTTCGAAATACGTTCACATTTGCTACTTTATGCTATGAAATTATAGTTCATAAACCACAAAATGAAATATTGTGTAGGAAATATCCTATGTCATATGCAGTAACTTTCCTTTGCAAGAGCCTTTGAAATAGGCATTTGACCCAAACTACATTCCATATCCTTTAAAATATAGACCACAACATTAACACAAGCTGCGTGGTTCACTGCCTTCAATTTCCCTTTATCTGAGCTTATTATAGTCTACTACTAGTGTTGGTAGTCGTAGAAGTATGCTTCCCAAATACAATTTAAAAAAGGAAATCAATTTATAGATATAAGTTTTAGGTCTATATCATTTATTCATCCGTGTGCTAAAAGAAATCACATTTATTTGGATTCAAACACAACATGATTCAAAACAAATGGACTTTTAATTTCCTGACCCTCTGCCAGCAGCAGAAGCAACAGTATTAACCACAAGTGTTGATCAGCTTAGGAACAGAAAACACTTTTTACTCTGTTACCTGTCTCTGTGGATGGAGACTGTGATTGCTCAACATCTAAAGAAGGAGCCGCAGTATAATTTGCTCGTGTCCCAGTTTAACTTTGGCGATTATGAAGATGCATAAGTGACACGTGAAAGAATGCATGTTGCAGCCATAACATGGCAGTCAAGTTCAAGAGGAGGTGAAATTCATCCACTGACTGTGCAGGTATAGTAAAATAAATATTACACTCAGGCTTTTTTTGTCAAATTCGACTTTATCCTGGACCACAAGTATCAAAATAACCCATTAGAAGTAAAAGAGTGCAAGCCCCTTATACCGTTTTCAGTGTCTGAAAAGTAACATCAATTACACAATATTAACTTGGCCTTCAACTAGGACAGCACCACAAGAAGCAGAAGTGTAGGCGAAAGTGTAAATTAGCCAGATTGAAGTGTTACTCGCAAATGAAGATCTCAATCTTACCTCTCCAGCAGGAAAGAGGACGTTTCGAATATCGGTGGAAGAGCAAGTATAAAAGAAGATGCTCCAGTTCTTATAGAATACCTACAAACAACTGAGGCTACTGCTGTCAGTGTGAGATGTTCCTTCATGAAACTCCATCCGAGGCAACAAATAGCACGCCACACCTTAGTAGCCTACAGTGTGGAGGCAGATGTAGGTAAACGTTAGACCAATAGACAGACAAACAGAAAGAGGGAGGGAGAACGGTTATACAAGAGCTGTCGCATAAATACAGCATTTTGATTAGCTTTCATTATTTGCATTAGTTCATGCTGCTCTGGCTTGTTCAAACGTTCAGGATCTGTATCTTTAACAGCAGTCAGTTAAGGCATAATACTGTCGGATGAACAATGCTGGCTGCGTGCAGTATATGACTACAAATCTGACAGCATTGCCCGTGCATGCAAAAGACAGCGACCTCATCTCTCAGGGCTGTTGTTTACCTCGCAGTGGCAAAAATCGATATTTCATGAGGCCAACAATGTCTTTTACTCAAGAAAGTTACAAAATGTCACACTTTTGTAAAGAAGATCTATCAGTTATGTTTACCTTATCCTATTGGTGATGATGGATGGAAGGAGTGTATCCAGCGTGCATCGGGTGAGAGGTGGGGTACACCCAGGTGTTGATACATTGGTACAGACATGCACATGCAAAACAACATTTCTGGTTAATGTACAAGTTCCAACTCGCCTAACCTTTATGTCTTTTGAGGAGGAAACCTTTGCAAACATTAGGGGGGGCTGAAGAACATTTCAGGGGGGCTTCAGGCCTAACGACGCCCCTGGTTGATATTATGTTGAACAGGCAAACTTTATTAAAATATATTAACATTTGTGTAACTTGGAACTGATTTAAACATAATAACAGTAACAAAACCTTAGTTTAAATACAAAACAGTATTCTGCACCAAATAAATAATAATAATAAATAATTAAATAAATGAATAAAAAACGTTCTGCTAAAACAGTATATTCTATATCCAAAATATATATAAAAAACTTTTCCCAGTTGTGCAGACAAAAAAAGACAAACAAAATTAAAAATAAATCTATTCTGCAGCACTTAATAGGCTACAAATAAAGTGCTTTCCTCCTTTATGCAATTATTAGTAGTGCTGGGCAACAATTACAATTTTTAATCGCGATTAATCGCATGGATTTTTTGCGATTAATCGTGATTAATCTCATTGTTATGGCAAAGTTCAATAATGAATTCAAAAGTAGTGTATTGTGCACTTTTATTTTAAAAGTACTGCTATATGAACAACAGGTCAATAACATTTGGTTTGTAAACACTTTAAACACATCAGGTTGTTAACAGCAGTATTCCCTTTACACAGTAGCAGTTCTATCTCTTCACTATCTGTGCTCAGTGTGTGACTGTGAAACATTCCACTGCTGTGCAACAGGAATAACATGTTTCAGCACGTTTCAGCAAAAATGTGTGTCTTCATGACAGTCAGAGCATGTGAATGCAGCTCTACTGTTCATCAATATAATGCTGTAACTCAGAGGTGATGATGGTTACCCAGCGATCAAAGAATGAAGACACTTTACCCACAATTTAGGTGTATTTTCCCTTTAAGTCACAAGATGCAGCATGTTTTATACTTAATGTGAATATAATTCATACTTTGTTGGCATCTTATTCTGAAAACCGGATGTCCGTCTGAAGAAACCGGATGTTGTCTCACGTTAATCTTTCCGCTATCTTTCAAAGTCCTTCGCTCGCTCCCGATCTGTGCCGTTTAAATGCGTTTACCGTGAATTTGGTGGGGGCAATTGTGTCTTTCCCAAACTTTGGTCGTGACTAGTCCCTATGGACCCTATGCAAACCTACGCCCTTGGTATCATGAACTCACAATGGCAACTTTGCTTACCTATTACGACAGTGCAGAGGCCAAAAATAAGCATAACATTGAATACAATAAAACACAGCAGTTTAGGACCATATCTCATGAGTGCCTTGTTACATTTGGTACAAAATGCTGTTAAGAACTGAAATTACATTTTTCATTTAAAATTGAATACAGATTGAAAGCACAAAAACACGTTGGGATGGTGAACACAAAAAAACGTATCAAATATAAAAGTGAAAACAACCTATTCCACCTTTTTTAAGAGCTAATTTTAGTCTCTGATGTAGTTAATTTTTTGTGGGTTACTGTATTTTCTGTATTACTGTAAAGTGGGCTTTTTTTCCTCTTGCCATGTTAAGATCAGTTTGAATCGATTGCCATATGATATTTGTTACATATATTCATGTTGCCCAGAGGATACTGACTTCGGTGATCCCCTGACCTTTTCTCGAGGGCCATCAGGAGGTTGAATGTTGTGTTATATCCCAACAACTATTGGATCGATTGCCATACAATTCACACATGCATCTTCCCCTCAGGATGAATTGTAGTCACTTTGCTGATCCCACAACTTTCCATCTGGCCTTGTGATCGTGTAAAATGTGTCGTCAATAAATACAATAAATCATTTTTTTCATTTGCAATTCAGTCTTTAAGTAATTGCCAAAGGTATTTTGTTGTTTTTCATGCGTTGTCCTACGAATGTCCTGCAACGTAAGTGATCAGTCCCCTTGTACAAGCCCCTGTAGTGTTTACACAACTAAACTACTTAGTTAGGTTTCGGAAAAGTTCGGGTTAAAATCACTACAACAGTGACTTTACGTAAGTACGACCTCCTCCATAAATGGACTTTCCCGCTATTTGTACTACGTCACCTGTAAAGGATATACCTGCTAAATGTTAGCGTGGACATTGTGAGCATATTGGCATGCTGACATTAGCATTCAGCTTAAAGAACTACTGTGTCTCAGTAAAGCCTCACACAGCTGCTAGCATGGATGCAGACTGTTGTGACAAACAGCTTCTTTGATGGGGTACTACAACGTATTAAGTGGGTTTATACATTCTAGTAAGACGTTTTAGGTAGGAATAGACCAGGGGTCACCAACCTTTTTTAAACTGAGAGCTACTTCAAGGGTACCGAGTAGTACGAAGGGCTACTTATTTGATACAAACTTCCTGAATAACAAAGTTGCACAGATCACCTTTTAATAATAATAATATATGTGAAGAGACTGTTTGATCACGTCATTCCTCACAATAATTATTAAGAATGATTTCCACAACAATGATGGTATAGCTACACATACATATTTAAACATGCAACTTTTATTTCTGTTAATCTGTTTCAACATTTGAAAGTCAGAGGTATCACATCTCTGATATTTTTGTATCATCACATGATCAAAGCAGGTTACTTTTGCACATAGCACCTGCTGGTGAATGATGCAGTGGTAATGTAGAAATTTTGGGAATTCTGGGTCACCTTTGCGTTGCGCAATGAAGCCTGCATGCCGGCCCGTCATCGCGGGAGCCCCGTCTGTTGTCACTGACACCAGCTTTTCCAATGGTACCTTTTTCTCAACGAAGAAACTAGTAAAAAGTCTCGTCTATAGCCGAGGGGGGATCCAACCCTCCAAGGCGCGCGAGCGTCTTCGGGCGCCCGCGTTCAAACCTCTAGTCTGGACCTTTTCAGTCGGATTGCGTGCCTCGCCTCTACCCCCGCCACCCCTGAGTTGTTGCCCCGCGGCCTGTTCCGAGGATTTACAGACCTGACGACGGGGTGCGCTCGCGGCGCGCGTCTGGCGCCAACGGGAAGCGCCCGCCATTCAGAACCTGAAAACCTAGTGCCTGCGGCGGCCTCATCCTGGCTGTCCGCCGTGCGCCTCTGGGTATCCAACTCTCTTATGACAAGAAATATTGTCATTTTAAAATCTACACTAATGCAAGCGTTTTTGATTAAAAAAGAACAGCAACTACAATTTTAGACGGAGCTCCATGGTGACTAGTGCTATTTTTAGAACATGTCTGGCGGGCGACTCACGTGGTCCCTGCGGGCGACAGGGTGCCCGCGGGCACCGTGTTGGCTACCTCTGGAATAGACAAATCACTTTGTATTTTACAAAATAAATACACTATCCAAACTGTAGTATATCAATGTCTTTCATAAGTTATAAATGCCTTGCAGATATCTTGAAACATATTTTCCCTAGAGCTACATAAATCTGGCATACACACAACCATGGTTTTGGAGACCTATAGTTAATTTTTCACACAAAAGGTCAGTACTAAATACTTTTGTTTGTTACTTAGGTCCAAACGTAACAAGAATAACAATATTTTTCTTTTTCAATGTACTCTGCCACTTTGGGGATTATTCAGGAGTACTGTTGGATTTAATAGTGGTAAAATCCATAAAAATCAGGACACGTCATATGTTAACTTTCTTGGTAACACTTTGTAATAACTACACACTATGAAGCATTAGTTAAGTATGAGTAAATACTTAATTCATCATTTATAAAGCATTGTTCCTACATTAATAATTCATTAGTATGCAGTTCATAACAGTTATAAATGTTTTATTCTTGATTAATAAGCCCGTCTATTATGTGTTTCATTATTGTGTTTTCATACTTTATAAATGATGGATTCCCCATTTGTAAATGAAGTATTATGTATTTTACAAACCAATTATTAAGGCGTTGTAGATGATTAATAAGATAATTTATAAAATGTTAGTAAATGATTAATAACTTATTTATATGTACATTATTCATGCATTTATATATATAATGGTTAGGGACTATGTTAATATATGCTTTATAAACGCATATTAATACTGCAATTCATGATTAATTCATGATTTATTAAGGTAGTTACCACTCGTTAGTAAAGTGTTTTGTGTGAGCTCATCTAAAGTGAGGACTATTTATGCCTTATAAAGCATTTATAAATGACATTGAAAGGCCAGCAGTGCCTCAAAACACATTTTTGAACAGAACAGGCAAATAGACACAACACAAAGTGATCAAAAACATATTAATATTTATTGCAAGATGCAAACAATATACTGTTAAATACAAACCTCTCATCCATTAATTCATGTAAGAAACAAACAAACAAAGACATTCTCCTTCAGGAGAACATGGCTGGATACAAAACATTTGTAAATATACGACTAGAGCTAACCAGGAGCTTTGCATATTAGTTTACATTACTTATTTAATTATTCATTTTAACCGAGCATATCGATCTCCACTGTTCGTACTTTTCTTCAGTTGCATGTGCCGATGGCATCCGGCCGAATCTGCTCATTGTTTGCAATAAACGAAATCCCGCTTTCAATAAGTCATGAATGTGAGACGGACAAAGGAAAAGACCGCTTGATACGTCATCAACGTGGGACGAACGTTTCACTCAGGAACTGGTACAGAAGTGCACTTACGTGAAGGAAAACTCCAATCTAAGTTGAAAGGGCTCGCGGATCCGGGCCAGAAAGAATGACTGCTGTTTGTTTCTTAGTTTGCTGCTACGTAACGTTACACATTATGGAGGATGATACATGATTTTGACTCTTGCAGCTCTGCGCCTATGCAATCTGTGCGGGCTGGTGCGTGCACCTCTCGTGCACGCCAGGAATATGCCCCCGGACACTCTAGCTAGGTACTCTTCCCCCACTGGCTGAGTACACCGTATCCTCATTAAATACTTTGATTATTGTACACAGCCTGCCTGTACTCAATGGGAGATAGCTTTAGATAAAACCTTGAAACAGTGTGCGTTATAGCTTATAGTCCTAAAGAACACTTATACAAACTAGTCACTGGTGACCAACCAACATCTCTTACTGCCCCCCCCGCCATTCAAAGTGGCCTAGATTAGGGCTTCATTGGAACTACTTCTGAAGCAATAATAACTATCACAGTCAACATCTTCTGCAACCGCTTCCTTGGCTTACCATGGCAGTTGGCACATATAGCTTGGCATGTCTCCACTTCTTGAGAAGTAGTGGATGTATTTAGTTGGAATGGGGGTTAGAATACATTGATGAATGTCTGTACAAAATGCCATGGCAATTCAATAGTTGCTGAGATATTTAAGTCTGCCCCAAGTGGTGGAGCATGGCTAAAAACTGCCAGCACCCTGTTACAGGGCAAAGTCCTGCATAAAAAATCCTTACAAATTCATACAAAAAGAAAATTCCATTATGTGAGTCTTGTCTGGTGTCTTGTGCTGTACGTAATTCTTTGAAGTGCATGCATGCCTGTGTGAGCTCAGTGGGTGGAGGAGCGTCTTACTCCATTTCCTGTGGTTGTAGTTGGGGCACTTCCTGTGTTTAAACAAACACAGGAAGTGTTGTCTGGATTCATATGAATGTCCTTGGCACTTGCCATCCAAATCAGTATAATCGGGCTACTCTAACACACACAGGTGATACACAAGTGTACCCAACTTCACAATATTTTAGGTTTGACTTTTTTCACTTTGCATGGCTGTCCATTCACCTGAAGAGCAAACCTCACATTGAACAAAGGAACAAAAATACAAAGCAATGGGTTTAGTAGAGCATGGGAAAACTGCATTTTTTATTGTTGTGGTTTTTGTATGCATTTGTCCAAAGTAAATATCATGGGCTTTTTTAAATTAAAAAAAGTACCTTGATTTGTTGACTAAATTGTAATTTAGGTGGCCGATAATACTTTTTTTTTTTTTTTTTTTACTTTGTGAGAGTGTTATCTCACTTAATTCCTACAAAGCAGGCTCTGTACCACTCTTTATAAAATAAATTCATACCTTATACCAGTGTAATAGAGGCACTATTTGGGCAGTACTACAACAAAAAATCATAAATGGTGTTATCCCTACCAATGATGACACAGTAAGACTCACAATACAGTCAATAACTAAACAGTTACATATCTGTATGCAGACTGGCAAATAAGGTTATAAACAATTTGTGACACAAGGGATATTAATATAATGAATAAAGTGTACTGTAATCCCTGTGGCAGCAGGGTGGCAAGGGTTCATTACATCCAGCAGCTATTGTGCTTCCATCCAGAGCATTGATTTATAATGTCAAAGTGTATCTGAGACTCTGACCCCTGCATGTTCATGTATTGTAAGACGGCACAATCAAGGGAGTCAGCCTAAAATGCCTAAAGCCTACTGGGGCCGGAGACATCTGGAGAAGCAGTCAAAACACTGGGGAGCCTGCCATTGTTTTTTATTTCAAAACGGAACTGGTGAGCGGGGGTAAGAAAGGGAACCCATAACTGCTGCTAAACATGATTTCCGTCTTTAGTTTTTGTCCCAAACAGGATGCATGAGCACGAATGTTAGTCTCAGACCCGCCCCACTTGTTTTTAGCTACGAATGGACAACCACATATTGGTCACATTTCAGCCCTAAAACTCCCAGGGACCTTCTGGATATCAGCTTTATTTATTGATCTCTTTGGCAATTATGTTGTGGATTTTTTTGATACTGCTCATCGACAGCTTTAAGGGTTTATCTGGAGGAGAACATGAGACGCTGTGCACCTCCAATGCCTGCTTTACACTGCATATGGACAGGGTGAGCTTTGAGAAGGCCGGTCAGAACTGTGTCCACAATGGAGGTTGTCTGATGACAGTCAGAAACCTAGAAGAAGAGGATGTGCTGCGATCGCTTCTCTCACAGATCCAAAGACAACCTCAGGACAGGGGGCTTGAATTTTGGATTGGATTAAAACTGCACAGAGGGAACTGTGTGTCGGCTGACAAGAGTCTCAGGGGGTTTAAGTGGCTATCTGGAAAGGAAGATTCCAACTACTCCAACTGGGAAAAAGAACCTGTCACCACATGCACAAAGGAGAGATGTGTAAAGGTTCATTACACTGTATCGGGTCAGAACCAACTGAAATGGACTGCTGGATCTTGCAAAAGCCCTACTTTTTATGCATGTAGGTTTTATTTTCAGGGAATGTGTAGACCTTTGGCTCTATTGGGGCCTGGACAAATCACCTACACAGTGCCCTTCTCAGAAGAGCCACAAAGAAGTGAAATGCAATTATTTCCGCTCGGAACATATGCTGTAATTTCCTGTAGTGAACAACAGTCTGATTACTCTGTGTGCAGGGGGATGGACAGCAGCTTTGGCTGGACTGTCCCTGGTCCATTTTGCAAAACAAGAAAGCGCTATTGCGCGGTAAACAACGGCGGATGTGAACATTTGTGCCACCAGGACACAGATGAAGTTCGGTGCTTTTGCAAAGAAGGTTACGACTTGGATGAGGATGGACTCACTTGCAGAATAAAAGCCATGTGCGGCGCTGAAACCTGTGAGCATCAGTGCGTAATGGGGGAATCTGGGTATACCTGCAAATGTCCAGACGGGTTCGAACTAGAGGCGAACCAGCGTAACTGCTCTGACATTGATGAATGCCAGTCACAAGCCTGTAAGCATCACGTGTGCCTTAATACGCACGGCAGTTACACGTGTGCGTGTCAAGGAGGCTACGAAAGGGTTGGCGATAAATGCATTGATATTGATGAGTGCACGCAAGTGAGATGCGAGGACAGCTGCTCGAACAGTATCGGATCCTTCTCTTGTCACTGCAATGAAGGCTTCACTTTATCCGAGGACGGCCACTCGTGTGTGGATAATAATGAATGCGTCAGTAATCTCTGTCAGTTCAAATGCGTCAATACGGTAGGCAGCTTCTTGTGCACCTGCCCGCAAGGCTTCCACATGGAGGCCGATGGATCGACCTGCGCTCCAGATGTGACAGAAATATCGGCTGCTTTATCTGATGACCCAGCGGGGGAGGAAACGCAAGAGAACTTCACCGAGTCCTTAACCAGAACCACGGTCGAGCTCCAAAACCAGTCCCCTCACACTGACGCGACGATTCTGGACCTGGTGAACGATACGCGCGGGGATCAGCAAAGCAACACATCCTTGGTGACAGGTTTTACCAAGACAGTTAATTCCAGGATGATGGTCTGCATCCTCGGTTCAGTCATCCCTCTGCTGCTTTTGGTGGCAGTGACTCTGGCTATTGCAATTGTTAGATGCAGTCGCTCCAAAAAAGCAGCTAAGAAAAGTACCACCACAGATGGTTACTGTTGGGTGCCCTCTGGTTTGGACTCGCGTTTAGAGAAACTATATGAGTCCATCTTGACTGATGACCTATGACCTGATAGTGATGAAGAAGACTGTCCACATGGATTATCATGTTTATTTATGTAATTTATGTTCTTGCAACTTCCCTAGGTATGTGTTATTGAGAAATTATCAAATCACTAATCAGAAAAAAAATATGAAGAACAGAAATAAAAATTGTGAATCTGATGTGATCGGCTTTCTATAACGAGGTGTAGAGAGATCTGATAGTTTGGATTGATGATTTGAGTTTAACAAGGAGAAAGTTGTCCCAGGATGTAATATTGAAAGTGAGCATTTTTATGTTGGGACCAGTCAGCTAATTTTGTAATTTGTCTTGTCATAACCAGCCACATTTTCTGCCAATTTACAAATATACATGTTTGAGTAATGTATGCACCAATATCTGTTTCGCTTAACCTGTGATCAGCTCCAGGCCCAAGAAACGCATGATTCACATGACATAAAAAGATTTATTCATTTTCAATACCACACGTCACTGATTGAAGGAGTTTTCAGATTGTTTATTCAAACCTGCAATAATCAATTTATGATTTTACTTTCTGAAGGGAGTTTGCACATCTGATGCTGGTGTAACTATAGAGTAACTGTAAACACATGTACGTCAGAATATCAAATCAATACTGTGTGTATTGTGATGATGAAGTAACGCAATGAGACAAAAACAAAATAAACAGTTTGCTCTGATATATGAATAGGTTTTTGTTCCTGTATCTACATTATGATGATCCTTGCCTTCACCAACCATGGAAAAACCCAGCAGTCCAACTTTATCTCATTTCCTTCCTGTCTTTAACTCTGTCATTGTCCTGCTGGGTGTTGCTTCCTGACTTGGTAGCCCCCCTGACTCTAAGTTCTCCACAACTTTAGTCAGCCAACATTATAAGATATTCTACAGCACAGCATCATGGCCTGCTTGCATTTTACTACAGTTGTGCCAGTGAAGGTAATGATAATGACTATTTTGATGTCAGTGTTTTTTTCCCCATATATTAAGACAGGATTTTGCCTGAAGCGGACTGTGGCCTGTAGGCCTTTTTGTACTGGGAGTGACTGCATCACTGTAAACCTGGACAGAGTGGATTTTCAAACAGCTGAGGAAGCATGCCGTGACAAGAACGGAGAACTAATGACATGTCGGTCCGAGACAGATGAGAGCACACTCGGCATTTTGAGTCAAGAATTGTATGGACACTTCTGGATTGGACTGCATTTACCAGCTGTCTCCTGCAGCAACCTTTCAGCTCCACTGAGAGGCTATGAGTGGACATCTGATAGTGTGCACCGCAGCTTTAGTCCACACTTCAGCCCCTGGAAAGACAGCGTTAAAGTCTGCTCTCCCCGCTGTGTGTCACTTTCCAACGATCAAAAGTGGACAGAGAGGCTGTGCTCAGACAAAACTGATGGCTTTCTGTGCAGAACAAAGCACAAAGATGCATGCCAGGCACGGGAATTATCAGATCCAAATGTGATCCGAAGCTCTAAAGGCTGTTCAAGTGCTCCTTGTCAGCATACATGCACCGATGTAATAGGAGGTTATATATGCTCTTGTTCCAGAGGATTTATACAAGACAGCAAGCAACCCGGAAAGTGCAAAATTCACTGTGCTCAACAGAAATGTCCTGCGATATATGAGGGAATTTTACCCTACTGTGCTGCTGGCTTTGTATTCAGTGAAACGTTTTGTGAGGACATTGATGAATGTGTGAACTATGGATGCGATCAGGAGTGTAAGAACACTTTTGGAAGTTTTGTGTGCTCCTGCCGGGAAGGATTTGTACTGAAAGATCAAGTCAAATGCATCAAAGCAGAGGGCAGTGAACGTTTTGTTGTCACAACTCCTATCGTCTTAGGCTTTGTTAAACCAGCCACCAATAATCATACGCTGAAGGGTTCTTCAGCGCCTGCTGGCGGTTTTCTCTGGATGTGGATTTTCGGCGTGGTGGCTGTGGTGCTGTTTATATTTGTGGTAAGGTTTTATGTTGTGAAACGTCAGAAGCGCAGAGAACAAAACTCCAATCAGCAGCCTACTGTTCCTGTGGACAATAATGAGTGTGAAATCCAGTCCAAACAATGATGAGCACCAACTCCACTCCTGAATCTAGGTAATGCATTGTAATGACATTAATACATATGAATACATAAAATGAAGGAGATCTTTTTGTTGTATAGACGTGGATGGACTATGCCACTCAGTTATTTATATTAAAGAGAAAACAACTTTTATATGTAAAAATATAGGTAATTTCAAATGTGATTTTGGATAAAGAACGTACTTATCTATAAATACAAGTTGTGTTCGGCAATTGCAGCATTAACATATAGGATTATCATTTTGTTGTTGTCCCAGGTGGAGCTGAGAGGTCGTTTTGATATGCTGCTTGGCAGTTGTAAAGTCTGTTCTCATTTCATGAGTTTAGTATAATATGTTTCAAAAGAAAGGTCTCCGAAAGATGGAAATCCTTAGGGTGCTCTTAAAATAATATACTAAATGTACTGTGTTTTCCTCAAACCGGACTCTTTCTTCACAGAGTAAACATTAATATGTGTGCATAATATGCATTTAACTGTTTGTAAAATATGAGTTTTGAAGTACCTGTCAAATGATATATATGGGACACCAGATGGTAACTTCATGTGGCATTTTGTGTTCATTTATGGTTTATGACAAGGAAATAAAATCTGAATTCATTCGTAACAAGTCACTGCTCTCACCACTCTTGTTCTTAGAGGGCCACCTACTGTTCTTTTGTAGAAATTGCTAAAAAAAAAAAAAAAAAGGCTTCTGTCACGTGGATCCTCATGTTGTTTGATTTCAATACTGGAAGACCTTTAGTGAGACAACCGGCTTTGTTCCTGGCAATACATTTCTTGTTTCCTTGGAGGACTGTCAGAAATGTCACAGGATATGCACAGGAACTATAAATTAAATTTAAATTAAATACATTTAAAAAATGTTTTTTCACCATTGACTAACTTACTGGAGTTTAAAATGTAAAATACTTTTAAATGCGTGTTCCCCATTGTCCACTGTTGAAGTCTCAAAAAAGATTGTCGGGTCTTTTGCCTGTTTGCATTATCTTCATAAACCCTAGAAATATTTTACTACCTGCTGCGTAAACCGTACCTACTTCCTGTTTTGTACAAAATTCCACCAGTTGTATGCAAATAGCGTATTAATGTATTCTGACAGTCTTGCAGCAATTGGCAGTGCTGCTAGATAAATATTAGATGGCACAACTGATTGCCGGGTGGACTATGACTTTCTTTTGCATGGTTCAACTCACTGTTCTCAGATATTCCAGTTTTACAGAGTTGTGCAAATTAAGTGTTTATTTTGCAGTTTACATCTTTTACTGAGCGTTTTCTCTCTTTATCTGATGCTCCTCAAGGTTCCTCTTCTCACAGACTGTAAGGACACACAGAACACAGACATCATCACCACTCTGGTTAGTCTGACACCCTGAACCAATCCTCCCTTTGTGCTGATGAATGTAGTCACAAGTCTGCCAGCTGAAGGCTATTGACAAAGCCATCGGGTACACTATCACAGGGTTAACTTTAGTTCTTTAAGTTTTAGTTCAATCTTGTTGCAGTTCCACACAGCTGCCACTAGATGCTACTATTGACACATATTGTACTGATAGCACTCCTCCAATAACAAAATACTTCCTATATAAATTGATTTACAGCTAGTCCCTATAGTTCCAGAAACAATAAGTACTGATATTAATATGACACCGTATGGCTACTGGGACCTAACAGAGGTTAACTTTAAGTTAAATAACCAACCACATCAACTCTGAGATAGAAAATCCCATCAGTAAACGTTGCTTTTATGTCACTGGGTCTACAGTGTTTCCTCTTCTCGCCCAGGAAAGAAGCAAAGCAGATAAGACTGCTATTAAACAGGAATCCCAGCATGTAATCAGTGAGGCAACACCAAGGCTGTAAATGAAAAAAACACCATAATAAACATGTGGACAAAGATAAGTGGTGATAGGTATCTCGTAATGGGAACAAAATAACAGCATACTAATAAAAACAATGGTTACAGATATATAAAGGCATGGTCCAAATCATTTGGAATAAGGTTCCTTCACAGTTACAAAGTATTAGAAGAGTGACACATTTGTGTTGAGTTGGCTCTGTACTCCAGCATGTTGACTTTAAATTGAAACAGTGACTATCAGGTTAAAGTACTGAGTTTAAATTCAAGGGCTTTTTAAGGCTTAGGGTCAGAACAGAAGGTCAATAATGGGTCAGATGAATAGTGAAGGAAGCAGTCTATTTCAAAGACCGAAATAAACTGAACAAATTTAATAAATTCATCATATCATGATGTCTCCCTTAATAATGATGTATCAGGCTTGTACTGCTGCCATCTTTACTGTCTACCTGTCCTGGGCCCTCTTTCCTCCAGTGCAGTCTTAAAATGCACGCTCAGGTGATTCAATTGGCCAAGATTAATACAAAAATAAGTACCAAACTAGCAATGTGACCTACCCTGCTGTGATATCATTTTTTATATGCATTAGTCATTCAGGATTTAAAAAATGATGGCATGCTAGAACATTCTGTTTATTTGCCAAGCCCTTAAAACATACAGAGCTCAATTGCATAACTATATCTTTTATAAGTCACACAAAAACAGTAAAACCATATAGACGAGCATCAGCCCTGAGAGGAGATCATTGTGGAGCTGCAGTTGTAGGTGACTATGTGACCTCATTGTGCCGTGGAGAGAGCACAACAGGAGCGTTGTGTTGATAAGACTGGGTGGTACTAACCTAACCTGGATGGCACCGGTTGTGGCTGACACAACCTCACCTCTCCCAGTCAATACATAGTTTTTTTATGAGCTTAGTCAGCCAATCATAACAGGAGGAGTAGCCTTTTTGAGAAGGAGCACAAAAAACAAAGAAAAGGGTTGGGTTGTCTTATGTAAGGCAGACACCCTCTGAGAGAACTTAGGTTTGGCTAAGTTCATGTTGCTTTTATCTTAATTTGGTTTAATACATTTTTTTTGTCACCCGTTTTGTTTCAGATATGTTTTTCATGCACTTGTGCCACTATGCACTCTGCATTTAGATAGGTGCTAACCAAAACAAGTTAAATATAATTGATGTTGTGGTAAAAAAATCGCAAATAAACGATACATTTCTGCTAACTTCATTGTTATAAGTTTGTAAAACTTTTGCATAGCCTATATGGGCCATTCTACCGAATTGGTTCAAAAAAATCGCAAATAAACGATATAGGTTGGAAAAATTTTAAAATTTTGTTTGTTTTATTCCCAAAACTTTGTCCGTATATATATTGTACCATATCTAAAGTACACATATCTAGTAAAAGAACCGTCAATTTTGATATTTTATTTTCAGACTGTGTTGGAATGATTTTCCTCTCCCAAAAATTGTCACTACCGAAACATAGTAATACACTATAGTAAAAAGGTATTATTATTAACCTGTTAAGATTGTGTTTCCTTCCCTTCTCTGAAGAGTATTTTTACAAATATTTCTTGAAGGTTTTCACAATTAAATCAATAAAAATGAGATTTGTACCAAATTTCTAAGTTTAATTTATACAATTCATCAAAATCTAAATGCAATATTTCTTTGTAAAATGCATAATACTGATCATATTGATTCCAGAGTTGATGATTCATACAGTTGAACATACATTAAACCAATCAGTATCATAACATTTTAGTTGATAACTCAATATACTTTTTTACAAAACATCCAGTGTTTCGGTTGTGACCACAGTATTTTGTTTGCAAGGTTGTATCATATTTCCTCAACCTTATTGCTTAATCTTCACTCATAACATGCCTTAGGTTGGGAATATTACAAACATAAATGTTTTGTGGTCAATAGAATAATTTTATTTTTGAAGACATAACAATTGTTCATCCAGAACCATTTAAAGTACAAACATTACTTATCAATGGAAAATTACCCAAGTGGGTTCAGTAAAAGAGAACAAGAAAACATTGACAAATAACTGATATTATGTTGTACTGTATGTTTAAGGGGGTTCAGTGTCAGACACAAATCCATTCACAAATTTAGTTTTTCATATAGTGCGATGAACACTCTTGGGCTGATCTGGACATGCCTCTGTGTGACGTTTTCTGGTGGAGGGATTAAGGTGACGACCTTGTCCACTGTGTACCAGATCTTGTCCTCTAGTCGCGGTCAATAAAAGCGGTTTCGCCCAATGTTGTGCATGACTTTGACCTCAAGGGCGCCTGCAGACAGATAACGGGTAAAATAAAAGGACATTGGGCGAGATATGATAAGTATTGCTTGTATTTGAATCTTATAAGACGATGAAATAAAGTTTGATTCAAAGGGAATGGGAATATGAGAACGGAAGATGGCCAAGTGAGAATGAATGGAAAGAGAGACTTTACCATATGTTTCGGTAGTGACTGTTTTGGTAGTGACAATTCTAGCTAACTTTGAGCATAACTAAAGAATGCTAGCAAGCGGATGGCTAGCATACACGTATTTGAAGAGGTGTACACACATAACAACATAATACTTTGCATTAAACCCCAAAAAGTTTACTTAATTGAAGAGAATATGTGTTCGGTAGTGACAATTCTTAAGGTTACATGCCGATTTTCAGACTTTGGAACACATTTATATCAAAAGTATGGGATTTAGCTACTTACCATTCAGCCATGAGGGACAGGGATGCAGTGTCACTGCCTGGTCAAAAATGCAGGGGTGTGGCTAAAAACCAGGCTCAGCCAATGGACTAAAACTCTTGAGTTTCAGTAGTAACATGAAAACTGGGGACATGATTTTTTGGGTATAGTTTTTTAATTTTAAAATTAAACCCACAATAAATCTAAATCTTACAACTTCTGTTTAAACTTAATCATAAAGATCTTTGAAATTACACCATTGAACAAAATCTAAAAATTGTTTTAAGTGTTATTTACAGAAATTGAAATTTAGATGTGAGGGTTGGGTACAGCTACTTCCCAATAGAAAGTACCCTATAAATGATGATTTTGTATATATTTAGCTTATCACTATCTAATTTAATACCTTGGGTTTAAATAGACCACAACACATTCTCAGTAAATATCTATGTCTGAATACTTAATTGTTTTGTTAAATAGTTTTTCTTGTTGGGGGACAGCACTTTGAACGAATTCGGTAGAATGGCCCATATCCTGTGTTTCATAAGCAATGTGTCCAACCTGTATGATGAAATATTGAATGATGAAATTTGAGTGGGAGGAGTGTGGTCAGCTTTTTGTGCCCTGAGTTAAACCTCACAGGCCAATCCTTCTTTTCGGCTGGCTCGCCACAAATCTTATTCAGCAGTCTTGCTTACCTCAAACATGTCCCTGACCTAAACATCTATTACATAAAGCATCTGAAGTACCTGGTTGTACGTTACTTTATAATGCACCTTAGTGTACTGTACATGATCCTGGGAGGCTATTTGAGGGTAGAAAACAGGCGCCGGGGACGCCTGTTTCGGTAAACACGGAAGTGGAGACCGTCTCCCCTTACGTCATCCAATCAGAAAGAAGGCGTTAGTTCATAGCGTAGTGTCATTGGGTTAAATGTTGTCCACGCCCTTTGTCGCCCATATACGTAGTAACAACCGGAATCTGGGCTAGCATGTGGAGAGAGTACTGTTAGACTATAAATACTACCTTTTCGTACACACAAGTAAAGCAGTCAGGCCGCTGAATACCTCATTCGTTCGCTGAGTAAGCCAAGAGAAAACAAAGCAGCAGCATGTCAGCCGACGGCGTGTTTAGGACCCGCTCTCTCGGTGTTGGCGCCGAGGGTCTGCCGGACCAGTACGCCGACGGCAAAGCAGCGAAAGTCTGGGAGCTGTACATCGGAGACACGCAGAGTAGGACGCAGGAATACAAAAGCTGGGTGATGTCTCTGCTGAAAGAGCAAGGGGTGCGGAGAGTGCTGGATGTAGCCTGCGGAACTGGGTAATGTCACGCTGAATCAGCAGTTTTACACTGGCAAGTTTGAGAGGGGCTTACATTTGAGCTACATCACACATTTGTTCAATTCAATTAAAACCCTTATATATCAGCACAAATAACGCCTTCAGTCAGCACCTGTATACATGTTCTACACTTGCACATCCCTGTCTTTAATTCGGCATTAGTTATATACATCAACTCTCCGTTATTTCAATATCATATTTCGATGGGTAGCAACTGTGTTCAAATAAGTGATGCATATGCCGAATTGAAGACCGCACCCTAGGTGTGTATGCTGTGACGTGCTGATCAAAATTGGGCTTCCATAATTACCCTCCAGGTTCCTGAATGTGTGTGTGACCACTCTGAATGTACAGACTGACCATGCAGCTCTATAGCACAGTCTCATTCTGTAAAATGTGAGTCTTGTCAAGTTTACACTGTTTATCATTTCAGTATGTATCTTTTTACTTTATTGTACTTTAGACTTGCATTAAATAGTTCAGATAATTCATCATGTAAAAGTACTAAACATGCCTATTTTGCTCAGTAATAAATAAACTGGATTCTTTTTTTATAGATAATCAAGTTAGTTTGACATTCCTGGAATTTCAACCTGCAGACCCCTTTTTTTTATTTATTCTTTTACTCTGGACACAATCCAGATTAGGCCAGAGAGCAATGAATGAAAGTGCAGCGTTGCATCAGCCACTGTGACAGTTCCTGCCTCTGGCAGCAGTCTGGAACTGGGACCAGCAGTTCCAGACTGTTGTTTAAAAGTGCCTTTATGTTTCAACTAAGAAGTTTTAATTGGCCTAAACAAAAGCCTCAAGATCTGTTGTGCAAATCTGGATACATGTTCTGCCTTTTTAAATGTACACCACATTTGAAGCACCTTCTAATCAACTTGAGGCCACTGAAAGGGAGATGTGGTGTTTGCTTTAGTGGATATTATCTGCTGCATGTCTGTGAGATGGCAGATGATGGTTCCAGTGGTTGAGAAACTGGCCCTGGGTTGCTGAAAAAGGAGTTTTGACTGGTTCCATGCAATCTGTTTACCTCTGCTGATAATGTATCTGTGCCCTGGAACATCAGCAAGGCCATTGGCTGAACTCCTGCAAGGGGACAATATACTTGAACCTGTCCATGTAGCCTTCCAATTCACCTAAATTGGCATTCATGTCTGGTAGATGCAACATTATCATTTTTTTTTCTTCATTTAACGGCATGTACAACAGTATTTTACATTAAGCAAGCATCCATGCAGTGATGTATCAGTTAAGTTAAACTTCATACCTCGCATATGTCTGCTGGGATCCGATATGGAGGAAATCAACACACAGACTTTGACCCCCGCTCTATAGTAGAAGTGTGTCTCTTTCAGCAGCACAGCCATCCGGGGCGACGTAAGCACGTTCCCAGTGGAATGAGGTTACAAATGGCCCCACTATTTTTGGCTGACTAAATGTGCCTGCGACGCAAAAGGCTCTCCAGTTGTTCTGCCATCGGATTCGGTGGCGATTTAAGCAAGAGCTAAAGAAGCTGCACGTCATGCTTTCTATTAAGGATACAATCATCTTAACCTGCAGATTACTTTCCTTGATCTGAACCATGGAGCAGTTTTTTTTTTTTTTTTTGTTTTTTTTGCGTAGTTAAAAGTGACCCAAGCTTGTAAAAAAAAAAATGTTCCTTTTAAACTAAAGAACTTGATTTAACTCGAGCTACAATTAAACAGTTGCACTCTGCATTCTTACTGTTGGTTTGCTTGGTCGCACTGCATACAGCGTTATTAAAATATAGTATATCTAATAATATATATGCTGTTGTATAATCTCTTGCAGTTGCTCAGTCGCTATTGTGCAATGAATCTTGCTCCCGAGTTGCTCTTTAACGTGGACTGTGCATCAATTTGATTCCGACGTTAGAATTATTCCGTAGCTCTTGCATATTGCTTAGCATTTACTCACAACTAGTAACTATTTGAATATAGTCGTAATAGCACAAGAGACATCAGCGTAACGAGAGTCCAGAAAGAAGTCAACAGCCTCAATTCAGAGCATGTTTTGGGTTCATGCTGTTCTGCCAGGCTTTTTAATTAAAGCACGAGGAGCAACTTACTATCAAATATCAACCATCTCTTTACTTCTGTACAACATTACAGTGTTGACATTCCTAACAAACTGCATTGCTTTTTGAAGGTGAGGAAATGTTAGTCCTGTTGTCACTTTATGTTAATATATACATTTACAACACGTACGCATTGTTGACATACAGTCAAAGCAGTTCCACATGGAGGGGTCTGAGTTGAAGGTGACAATTTCACAACATTTTCCCTCCTATTGCTTCAGGATCTTGATAAAGCCTTTCAGACGTGCACGTCTCTGGTGTGTTATGAGCAGAGCTCGCGAGGTTCCGCTGGTATTTTACACAGAACTTGTATGTAAAGAACATATGTGTTTCACTTTGTAGCGTGGACTCCATCATGTTGGTGGAGGAGGGCTTTAATATGGTGAGCGTGGATGCCAGCGACAAAATGCTCAAGTACGCGCTGAAGTCAAGATGGGAGAGAAGAAAAGAACCAGCGTTTGACCAGTGGGGTACGCCATTTTCCCCTTTTGTTGAGATAGGATTGTCATCCTTGAATTTTCGAAACACTTGAAAGTAACTCAAACCAGTGTCTTTGTGGGATGAACTGAGCATGACATTTTAGATCCTTCATTAAGTGACATCCTCTTTATGTTTCTGTCTTGCTTTGACTCTCTTGTGCTTATCCCTCTCATCCTCAGTGATTGAAGAGGCCAACTGGTTGACATTATCAGAGGATATTCAGAAACCAGGGCCCGGCTTTGATGCCGTTATCTGCCTCGGAAACTCCTTTGCTCACTTACCAGACTTTAAAGGTACGTGAGAGGTCAAGGGACAGAACCATTACTTAAGCAATACATTTGTCCAATGACCTTTTTTCACATTGTTCTTGAATCTGCTGGTTAACACTGGAAAAAACAACCTTTCTCTGGATTTTCGATCCCAGTAAAAGTTGTACGGGATTCATTGCAGACCACCTCCAACCAAACTGCTAATGATTAACCAGTGGCTGGACACTAACATAACCTCTTATTCAAACAATGTGATTTAATTGAAGATGATTCCGTTGATGGTGCATGTTCATGTTTATTGCTCTCAGGGGACCAGAGTGAGCAAAAGTTGGCACTTCAGAATATTGCCAGTATGGTCAGACCAGGTGGGATCCTCATCATCGACCACCGTAATTACGACTTCATCCTAGAGACCGGCCAGGCACCAAAAGGCAAAAATATCTACTATAAGGTACTAGACTTAATGTTTTCTTTACGGTGGTGCAGAATGACATTTAGACCCATCCAACCTTATTTCCCCCCGTATCCGAATTCCACCAGCAGCTGAAGATCACAGCTGGTGTGCTGTGAAATGACTGTTCATGATAACACCATGTACATTTTGGTTTCTGGATGTTGTCAGAACTCTCATCTTACCCGCTTAGCATTAAATATCTTTCATGATTCTGATAAAGCTTTTATAAAAGGTGCAGTGGCCCATGGCTTCGTACCTGGTAGCTGCTAACTGTGGCTTCGTCAAATTCTCCCAACAAACAGGCTGCATGCGATGGTGGGAAGCCAGAGTGGGATCAGTTCTTTGTGTTTCAAAGAAATCATGTGTCCGTCCCAAGTGGCAACCTCTGGTGTTGAAAAGTGAAGCCAAAATGGAAGTGCCCAAAAACTGTTTGGCTCCAAAAGCAAGAATCTCCATAGAGCCCCATGTACCAACTGGTACAAAAAAAACCTTTTTGTTCACCAGAGTCAATGTAGTTCATCGCTATAGTTCATTTTATTTAT